GTATATATATATATATGTATAATATATATATATATACATATATATATATATATATATATATATATATATATATATATATATATATATATATATATATATATATATATATATATATATATATATATATATATATATATATATATATATATACAAAGTCTTGACAATTTGTTTTGCCAAAAACCGCTTGGCCTTGAAAATTTGAAATACTTTTGTTTTACAACTCGAAGACGAAGTGAAAGAAATGGTTTTAGAACCAGTATATATCTCACAGAAAAGCTCAGATATATTATACAGATGTTTGGTAGTATAGTAAGTGCTTGTTGAGTGCAAATTCATTTGTCTTTCGTTGCAAACCTTTCTGAACAATTTATATTCTCAATGAACATTTTTTTTCGCTGTTGTTTCGGTATTAATTCTTTAAAAAACTTGTATGTAAACTAATTTCTATGTAATAAATGTATTTTTCTAACCTTTCAAAATTTTGGGAGTTTTTCTTTGTAATATTATCTTTCTCAAAGCGAATATTTTCCTTTTTTCTGTTTCGCAAAACTCATGTAGTTTTTGGACCGCCATCTTGTTTTTTTTCGCTACTCGCCGTATATGAGCTGATATACGGCGAGTAATTTAACCTATCAGATTGCAGAACAGCTCATATACGGTGAATGACTATATATTATAAATATATATATATATATATATATATATATATATATATATATATATATATATATATATATATATATATATATATATATATATATATAAATTAAGGTACAACAATCAACAAAATCCACTAGGCATCTTTATTACTAAATAGTTTCGTACCACAAAATGTGGCACTCTGATGCCTAGTGGATTTTGTTGATTGTTGTACCTTAATTTAAATATGCTCTGGTTTTCCATTGAGCACTTTACCAAAAGTTTTTATAACCAACGAAACCAAATCTTATATATATATATAATATATATATATATATATATATATATATATATATATATATATATATATATATATATATATATATATATATATATATATTCTATATATATACATGAACTTGCGGTTATACAGCACGATAACTGCATGGCCTCTGACTCTGTAGACGGATAGGTATGTAATACATTTTTCACTGAAACTAGTAAGGGCTTTTCAGAAATTATATTTACAAATTCCGGCTAAAATTTAAGAATGACTATCTTAAGTGCACTATAGCAAATTGAGGTTATAAGATGAAACAAGTTAGTTTAGACAAGGTATTAACTGTTTTCATTAGCAAGCAAGAGTTTCACTGAGTGCTGTCTTTAAATGTTTCTTAGTGAGGGGCTCTCTTTTATATTTTTGTCCAAATTGTTCCATATATTGACAGCCCTACACCCACGTTGGCCAGTTGCAGTTTTAAATGATGGTATCTGTAGAGAGTCACATTTCCGAGTCTTGCGGTTATCAATTGATGACCTTTTTTCAACTTGTTACAGGGGTAACTGTTACTGCATGGTGCGATTAATTCGGTGAAAATCTGGCTCTATATATACCAATTCAAATCTAGTATACGAAGATATTTTTGAGATGTTATAGACCCCTTTAGACACGTCATATAATTACAACTATATTGAATACTGCATGCATGAGCATGCTAAATGTTATTCATTTCTGAAAACTTAATTCAGTTAGCATCATTAATACCAAATCATTTCTCAGTTTATGTGTTCCCTGTGGTTTCAGCGAAAATATTTGCTTTTAATTAGGAGTAGATGTTGAGCAAGTAGCTATTTGAAGGTGAATTTAGATCTTTGATAATTTAGGGTATTATGAGGGGAATTGGTATACCTGCTCACGTTTTAGGTAAGAGTTATCCGGCTATTTTTAGACATTTGGAATTTAGTATTCTTTTGTATTTTAAACTTAACCCCCATCCTAACCAATTACTCTAATCCTAATCTTAATCCTATTACAACGTATATATATAAGAACAGTTATGATTTTACATAAAGCAATATACAATTGTGAACCATTGTCTGTTTATATGTAGCTACCTTCGCCCATTTGAAATCTCGCATTATCACGATACGAGATTTTCATTAAGGTGTAAGAAGACAAATTATTATTAAAGAAGCCGGAGTATAAGAAGAAGACGTTCTTAGCTAGAGCGTTCATAACTAGAGCAATAGACATCTGGAATAACTTGGGCATAGAAACCAAAAACATTGCCTTCAAAGAAAATTTAAAATCCGCTATTAGAAAACAGATGCCTTGGCTTGTTTAGAAAAATATTTCTATAACTTTTATATATATATTGTAAATAGTATAAGACATGAGTGTTGACCTGAATTCTTGAACTAACCAACTACTAGGCCTAATTAATTTTATCTGAGTATAGACCTTGTGTAAACTAAGGATCTAATTAAATACAAATACAAATCCTACTGCCTAAGGTGAGTCTAAAAATAGAAACTGTTCCGGCCTAAATCGCGACTCATGCATATATGGGTATTGGAAACTATCAAGATATTGTTGGCATCTCACTTGATTGAATAATAGTTGATGGGTTTTGTAGATGGAAATTATTATTTAGTAAAGTGCATAATTAAACTTTATATACATTTTTTGACCTAACCAGGAACAGGTACGAAAAAAGCAACTTTACGGTTCGATTCCTGCCAGAGGACGTATATAGTTGTATTTTCAATTCGCACCTGTTCCTACATATGAATCACTTGAAAGTGCCTTGAAAATGATAAAGAAAGGCCTGAATATTTACTCACAGCCGATCTCATTCCCAAATTACATAGGGCATTTTGTATTTTTTATGTTATGATGTCACTAGTTGTGTTTGAGATGGCAGCAAAACCAAGAACTGAGTCTAATATCTCAAAGGTGATTCAGCGAAATTTGGCACAGTTATAGTAAGTGCACGTAAGCAAACATTTTTGGACGTTTAAGAGGTTGTCAAAACAACTTAACAACACTAGTTTAGTCTAGTTACCAGGTCTCTCTCTCTTCTTGTTTTAGTAATGTCTGCCGTAACGACTAACGAGATAAAAGACTTTCTTATTTTTGCTTTCATCTCACAACTAGTGACGTCATAACACAAATATCCCGTTACTCTTGGGAATGAGATGAGAATAAATTGTCAATTAAGGTTCCTGGCTTTAACTCTACGTTTGTTCTTAGCGTTGAGCTTTAATTGCGAAATAAATCAACGAAGTTTTCCATGCATGTAAACGGCCTATTTGTTCATAAAAAAAATTATAAATATCATGACTCCGATCCGCGTTATAGGTCATGGGTGCCATGATTTAGTAATGCAGCGATCGTGTTACATTTTGTATGGTCGACTTTGTCCTACTGCGGATAATTTACTGCGGATAGATTGCAACTTGTTATCACCTCGTGAGATTTCTAGGCGTAAATGCATTGTAATTACACAAATGAAAAGATATATGTAGGCACTTTCATCGCCGAGTCAGCTTCAGAGTAAGGTTCTGACATACAGGGTTCTCAATTATGGGGCGCCAAATGTAAAAGAAATGTTTCATGCAAAATATCTACGGATTATTTACAAACAATCATTGGATCGTTTACTGCGACATGTCCAAGTACAACAAAAAGGTGTTTTCGTTGATATAGATGCTGGGTCTGGAGCAATATGACGGCCATTGACGGGTGCTGTGAAAATCTTCTTTACTAGCGCAAGTAAATTGTTCTTTACTAATTTTTGCTGTGTTGGTGTAATGTACTCAGGTGAATATGATGCTGGTGATGTTACTCTGAGCGTATCCAAAACAGGCAAGCTTGAAAAATATGCCTTGAATGTTGAACGTCAATGAGTCTCAATTATACCCAGTTGTGTCTTCGTCCAAGTGTAGTCAAACTTAGTCTTAGCATTGATCCCAGAATAAAGTTCCCAATTAAGGGTACACGGTTACAATTAAGATATCCCTAAAGGCCGGTTTACACTTGGAATTTTTGCTGCGATTTCTAGTGCGATTTTCTGCTTCTAACGCATGTGAACGAGTGGATGAATTATGAATGTTCAGATGAAGGTACATAAAATTCGATCATTCATAAAAACTGATGCATATACTCGTTCGCATGCATCAGAAGAAGAAAATCGCACTAGAAATCGCAGCAAAAATTGCACGGGCCTTTAGCTAGGTCTTTTTCATATGCCAAAAACCATTAGCATTAAATTCGGTATATCAAACGTTCGACAACTGAAACGACTTCAAACGAGCCTAATATTCTTTGTAATCTGATTGTTGGTATTTTTCAGACTTGTCTGCAAGCTATATAGCCTATATATAGGTCTATATCCTACCATATATGCCTATATCCTACCTTAATCCTACTATATACATACATAAACAATAACACTCAACATTTTTCTATTTTAACAACATGCAATAGAATTAAGATAAAGATTCAATGTAATATCAAATATCATTTTATTAAATTTCGTCTGTTACTCGATCTAGGGCAGGATTTATTCACATGGTAATCTACAGTTACTGATTGTATTTCCTAATTTATTTAGAGTTCTTCACTCGGTCTTTAAGCGAGCCTAACGTGTTTTTTTGGGGGAGGGGGGATCCGCATGAATTACATGTCATGAATTACACGGTACATCCTGATCCGGCATATAAACCTATAGTTGTCGCCAGCAATTCAACTAAAACTAAAGCAGAACTTTCTTTTGTCAAAAAGCCCCTGTCTTGTTGTCATAAACTAAAATTCATTCGTATTTTCAAGCCACAAAATTGGCCGTCGTCGTACTTTTCTCTATGCTTTATTCTGTTTTATTGTTATGATATACTATATATAATATATTAACAAATTACGAAACATGTTCCTGAACCATGCACGGTTACCAGAGTGAACTAGAAATTTGAGCATGGTTCTAAAATTGATCCCAATTCATCGGCTATTAATAGCTTCGTCAATGTCCATTCAATTCAGTCAAGTTCGTTGTTTTGATTCCTCAATGTCACTGGCCATACACAGCTTTACTAGCTTCCTGCCAGAGTTCTTGAAACACATTTTGTTGCATTTGTTCAAAAATATAAGACTCAGCTTTAGTTGATAAATTCTTGAGAAAATTATCGTCTTGTTTCGTTCGCGATGTCGAGAGACACTCAGCAAATTGTTCCAAATCTTTGCTCTCCTTCGCTGCCGTCTGTCGACAGTGATGGTCTACATAGACGTAAAAATCAAATGAGTTCATGGTTGAGGCTTTTTCGGATCCTGAAATACACTCAGAATCATTGCTGCTAAGCATGATCTTTTGAAATCTGTGTGCAGTGCCCCGACAACACGTAGCAGTAAGCTGTCTTTTAACCTGAGGACAAGGAATAAACTTTGAATTTCTCTGTGCAGTCGGGGATAAAAAATCCACGGAATTCATACGAGATTGAATGTGCTGAAGTCGCCGTACAGATACATTTGCTACTATAAAATGATATGTTATCCAACGCCATGCAACATATTTGCTCATATATATAGTGTGAACATGTTTACGCTCAACATCTGTTATATTATGAATGATGTGTTAATGGAGGGTGATATGACAATATATTAACCGAAGGAAATTATACAGTATCACTATACAGTGACCTCGTGAGATTTTATCACATCAAGTTCGCCATCTAGGCCATCGCATGTTTCACCGCATAGTTTGTCTCAATTTGGTATTCAATACATGCACTCGGCCTGCAGCTCTCGTCGAATATAAACAACGAGCTGTAAACAATATATTTTAAGCAGATCTAGAAAGTGTTTTTGAGTCAAATGACTCGAATTTCAATCTGCATCCCACGGATTCATTTAATTGTTAAATAATAATTATACTGTTGTTTTTGTGGTGACAATTAACACATTATTTATTCCGCAAAGATTTGATTGTTCTAAATTAACGGAGCCATAAGGAAAGGTTCTGCATGTGATTGTTACAACAGTGTTGCTAATGTGTTAATCAAATAAATTCCCGACTTTAAACTAAAACACAAACTATTTCAGCAATATCTAGATAACTATAAGTGAACGACTTTAGGTGTAGTTGTCGCTGTTGTTGATGTTGTTGTTGTTGTTGTTGTCAGGGTTGTTGCTGTTAATGTATAGCTACGTTCGTAATTTTGTTTCATTATATTATATAAATTATTTAGGATTTAATGTAATAATAACACAGTAATTTATATATATGTTGTAATTTTGTCACTGAAAAGCCTCTTCAGCGGAGTGTCAATGAAGTCAATATATCAATATCAAAGTTACAGAATACATTTTTATAAATCGTATTTATGATTTATCGATGTTCAGATCACTGGTATTTATCGATATTCATCAATGCAAATATGAAGATTCGTGCAATCGTGCTTCGGTGGATCGAAAACTTTGAGATCGAAATACAAGAGGGCCTATATCAGTTGAAGCAACTGAAAAATTAATAGCATACACATATCAATTTGCTAGTTGACACAGTTGAATAAATACGCATGCTTTAAATCCTGTATCACCGCCCCCATGGCCATGCATCTCAAATAAACACCCTCTTCAATAAGCCCACCCTCTCTCTCTCTCTGATTTCTCCATAACAAGCTCACGCTTAATCTTGAACTGTCTTTGTCAATGACAATGTAGATAATGCCAATAAAATGAACAAGCTTTCGTTGGTAGGAATGCAACTACCTGAAAATATACAAGGAGAATTTCGACGTTTCGAGCCCATCGCCCCTCTCTTTATTTACCTCTTTTCCCGTTCACAACTAGACGAAAAACATGCATGTGTGTTGATTTATGCTTCATTTATCGCTGACTACATTTAATTGACAAAGCTCCCGCCCTCTCCAAACAGCTTCGCATGTTGCCTCAAAGCCCCCGCGCATATTTCATACGGATTGACATTAACTGCTTCTTGTCTGGACAATAAATATTACTATTATCAAATACAAGCATTTTTCAACCAGTACAAATATACAAATGTGTCATTAATTATTGGTCTAGTACGTGTGAGAAAACGCCCTTTGGGTCACCGAGATGCGCCATTTATCAAGCGTGTTTGTTACTTGAAAAGAAGTTGGCTTTCTTGTAGCCTACGGTGTAGACCCCAGCAGAAACACGTTTCGAACATTTTAATATTAAAGCGCCAAATGAAAATTTACATTCACGCACGCTTCAGAAATTTGAATAAATTGAAGTTAATTTACCCAAAACGTAAAACAGATATATGACGTAGTCGGACAAGCTTTTCTTCGTTTATTCGTAGACCTCTCACGAAACGTGTTTCTGCTGGGGTCTACACCGTAGGCTAGCTTGCTTGCTGAATAGAGTCCTTACGACGTATTGTCATGCAATTAGATATTCTTTTTCGTTTTTATTCATTCTCGGTATGTGGCAATGGCGCCAATGCGTACGGGATGAGATAGTCCTGATCCTGTATACGAAGAAAAAGTTGAAAAACACTTCTGAGTGTCTCTAGGCGGCATAACGCTTCAAAGCGGAAAACAAATTATTTCTGCAGCAACATATTTTTACACAAATTCAACTACTAAATTATTATATGTACTGTATGACAGGCTCGTCTTCCTTTGGTTCATGCATTATCCAACTAATTCAAATTTTATCAAGCCGTCTTTGGGCAGGATAACCACCCACGCAATCACAACCAACAGATATAACAACTATAGATGTACAGATAACATGCCTCGACATTAGCAATTAAGTTCAACCCTTGGTCCGAGCTATACATTTCTTACTTCTAGCACTACACATATAAAGTTATAAGCTTCCATGCCGGCTTATGAACAAAACCCACTCATGAATCACCAAAAATTTTTAATTTTTCGATTTGACATCTCGTAAAACAAGTTATTTTTATTCGTCCGTCTAATCAGCTCCCGTATTTATATTAGACGACTAAGGCTATGTTTACATTGTATCGGACAGCTTGAATAGGGCTTGTGTTTGCATATGAAATTATGTAATCGAATCAATTTCTGCAGCGAGGCGCTGCGCTTCATTCTTCCAAGTGGTGCGTGTTGTGCTGGTGTCATTGTAATATAAACACCAATCGGCAATCGTAACAATTTTGGGTTCAAGATGGCGTCTAGCAAAGAAAAACTATTGCTATTCTAGCCTTACGGGTATAGCTTGCTCACCCTTTCAACTGTTTGCAATATTTTAGTTTTTGGTAAATATGTGCATGAAAAGACGAAGGCAATAGAAGGGCGGGGCGGAAGCTGTTTACAGTTGGGCCGTAACGTTTGGCGAACGAAGCTAAAACCGATCCGATACAAAGTATAGCTCAAGTCGTCTCAGACGTCTTCTAATATACGCATTAGTGTTAGGTTTTTCATTGTTGTAGTTTGCCAGTTTTTACTTTGAAGCCTCTTCGGAGTCTGTCCCCAAAAAACAAAACTACTGAAATAACGTATTGTTAGAATTTGAATGCCCTAGCACTAAGGTAAACGCAAAGATGCGTAAAATATCAGGGTGCATATACAGGGTGTATAAAAAAAAGGAGAAATTTGAATGCCATTTCAATTGCACATAATTATGCTGAACCGTAGTGCGTGAAATATTGATGGGGTGCATATATTAGAAAAAGGAGACCTTTAGAAATTGAAATAACGTTTAACCAAAAGTTGTCTGCTCCTGGGGACAATCTGCCATGCATACTGTACGTAGATCGCATGTTACGCACTCGTGGGCTTAGCAAAGTGCTCCAGTCAAATTATAACAATGGTTGATGGCTAAAGGTCTCCTTTTTCTAATATATGCACACCATCAATATTTCACGCACCACGGTTCAGCATATGTGCAATTGAAAAGGCATTCAAATTTTAACAATATGCTTGATTTCTAAATGTCTCCTTTTTTTTATACACCCTGTATTATAAATATTGACTTATTAAGAAATTAAAATATCTTTGTAAAGCGCACGATTTTCTGCTCTTTGGAATGTAAAGGCGGTTTTCCACTAGGCGAAATTTTTCGACCGAATCGAAATTTCTCTTTGTTTCATGAGCTCTCAAGCAGAACTAATTGTAAAAAGACAAAGAGAAATTTCGTTTCGGTCGAAAAATTCCGCCTCGTGGAATCAGGCCTTAAAGCAGCTTCTCAAACAGTTTCTTTATGCATAAAATTTACTTATGTCAAGCTTTTATAACTTGTGGATTCAGCAGAGTGTTGAGGCATTCAAATTCTAACAATACGTTATTTCAATAGTTTTGGTGTTTTTTGGGACACTCTGTAGTCGTGTAGAGGGAGACGTCCTCACATGCATGACACTTCTAATGTGTACTAGTACTGTACTTTGAAATCAGGTTAATACTGAAGTCTTGCCTTTTCAAAACACACTTGAACTTTGAAATCCGGGTAAAGTCCAAAATCAGGTATTAGAACTATTTTTAATTCATGAACAAAATAAATCAATGTCTAATTAGTGTTTTAGGATTATAGAGGGAGACGTCTATATAATTACAAGTGCTGTACTTTGAAATCAGAATTGACAAAATTTCAAAATGCTAGCATGTTATAAACGTTTTAAAGGGTTAATACTGAAGCCTTGCCTTTTCAAAACACACTTGGACTTTGGAATCCGGGTAAAGTCCAAAGTCAGATATTAGAACTATTATTTCAAATTTACACATTATCAGTCATTAGTTGTAGTTCCCCAAGTAAAGTGTTGATATGATAGCAAATAATAAGGCTAATAAGTGTGTTGTTGGAGCAATTATAGAAATCGTATATGTTGACAAGCAATGCATATTCATGAGAAACACTGGATGCTGGGGTCAAGAGGATCAGCCACTATCAGAAATTCATATTAACTACAAACAAAATACTTGAAATAATTAAAATGCAATGTGTGTTTGACGTATTTCTGTTGATCACAGAGGATAATATTAATACACGATAAACGTCCAACTACCCACAGTGAACTACCGTAACTCGTTCGTTCGGCCTGAGTTAGGGCCTGTTTACATGGAGATAGGTTGAACCTAGGGTTACGTACCTAGCAAGCAGGTCACCCTAATCAAATGTGTTTTATAGGTTGCGTTTACATGTGCGCTAAGGTTACCTTAGCGGTAGGGTTACCCTATCAAACAGATAGGGTGAACCTAGCAGCAGGGCTATATTTTTGTTTACATAAGCCATGTAAACGCGTCAGGTAGGGTTACCCTAGCAAGCGGGTCATGTTTTATAGGTCCTATATACTGTGACTGACAGACCGAAACAAGGATGGCGTCGCAAGATTATATACATCAGCTTGGCGAGTATTTTAAACACCACCACAAAAAAAAAAAAATAAAAAATAAAACGTGGATAAGCAATCTACACATAAGGAAGCAGAGGCAGACAACGAAGCTTTGCTTTTGGACGAGAACGCTGCGAATGATGTAGTTTCGATAACAAAGTCAAAGACGAAGACCTCAAAAACACAAAATAAATGGTCTTGGTCAGCCGAACATATCGAAAAACTGTTGGACTATATCAAAGAATTCAATACGCAATGCGAGTAACAGACCACGACATTGAAATAACAGACCACAACATTGAAATGTAGCAAGCAAAGGCCAAAGAAATAGCATTACACAACTTGCCGCTAAAACTTTTCTAATTTTTCTAATAGACGGCTTAGCGACCACGTATAGGTAGCAAGGTAGGGGTAGCCCTAGCAGTAGGGTTACCCTACCTCGTGTAAACGCTCGGTATTTTCTGACCCACTTGCCAGGGTCACCCTACCTCTATGTAAACATGCAGGCCCTTATATTCATTACAGTTTAATTAACACCTCAGTCCTCAAAGTCGATACTGCGCGAATTATTACAAAGTTTATCTCATTGACCACATGCAGGGAGCCGTGACACGTCAAATTACCTGCCTAGCAAAGGCGAGGGGTAAATTACTCTGAAAAAAAAGTACGAAGATTTTTCGGATTAGAAAATCCCAGCAATTTTTCTCCGGATTCTGGGATTTTTTCCCCAAATTTAAGGGATTTTTTTCAGTTGATTTTTTTCGAAATATTTTCCCTTATTTTTTTTCGCCGAACTTTTTCCGACATTTTTTGCGACATATAATCCGTCGAATTATTTTTAAAACGGAGTAAATCAACGAAGGTTTAAATTTGATGGGATTTCTCAATATTGCAAAAATTTTGAGGATTTTATTGGGCTTTTTCTTTGGATTTCTTTGGATTTTGGGATTTAGTAAGATTTTTGGATTTTTGATGAAGTGTGCGAAGATTTTCAGAGTAATTTACCCCTCGACATGTAGGGAATTATATTATGCAATATTTCTCGACTTCACAATATTGAAAATAAAAGCCAGTGATAAATAATAGCTATAATTTAACTACAAACCAAACAAATATTAAAATGGTCGTTTTTCTTTCTTACCATACCCAAGAGACAACCAGTTGAAAATATGAACCAGGCATAATTTGGAAATTGTTCATTAGAAATTACCTGGGGAAATGTTTTGAAGTTTAACTTGTAGAGTTTGGACACTTTCATAGTGCATGCATGTGGAAAGTTTCCAGAAAAAGCGTGGAATTTTTTTTAAGAAAACCTAGCCAAACTACAGTGTGGAAATGATTCAAATTTTCCAGTGAAAAATAGTCGAATAAATAGAAGGGAATACTTTAAATCCTCTATTAAGCTGTCCCCATCTGAAATACACATGTAAGGCATCCTCCGACATTTAAGGTATATATGTGGACTATACAAGGATATGATTTAGCTCCCATTTGAGCTAAATTGTACACTCTATCACTTCTATCTATAAACTGTAAGCCTGTTATCACTATGTTCAAGTGATCTGTATAAGAACCATTTTTCATCGCCACCAAATCTCCGACAAATGTCGTATAAGATTGCCACTGGCATTTGAAAATTATTACCAGCCACGGTCGATGGCCAACTGATTAAAATTCAACATTCCTTGCCTACGTTTTGACTACATGACACATGTGAGCCAGAATATGAATCGCATAGTAAAATTCAGACCTAAGTGTGTGCGCTGAATGTGCCCCTCAAAACACGCGTGCATGCACCAGGTTTTTAAAAAAGTCAAGCGCCTTTCTTCACGATGAATTAGAAACTACTGTACTTTAAGGATTGGACAATAAAATGTTTCTGTTATCAAATTCATGCATTTCTCAACCATTCAGTACAAATATAAATATGTAATGATATGGTTCTTCGTTTACTATAGGTGTGCGGATAAAGCCCCTTGATTCTATGATTCTTGGTTTGGGTCACCGTGATGCGCTATTTGTCATATGCGTTTGTTAGTTACTGAAATAAAAAATCTTCTGTCTTGGTATGCCTGATATTCTCCCAGCAAAAAAATGTAATACATGTAGGACGACAAAGTTTTTTGCATTCTTTGTATGTGACAATGCGTAGGTTGTCAATCAGATAGCCCTCTTGCTATATATAGGGAAAAATACTTCTCGTCTTTAAGCGGACAACAAATTGTTTCTGCGGCAGCATATTTTTCATCAGTTAAACTACAGCACACTGCAATGATGGGTATATGTCTCAATTCCTTAGGTTCATATTCATGCAAGACTTTGCAGTATCCAATGAAATTAAGCCGTTTTTGGGCAAGTCTCCTGCATGCAGAGGATATAACCACCCACGCAATCGCACTACAAAGATTGCAACTATTGATTGTACGATAATTGTACGATAAAAATACCTCAACATTAGCAAAGTTCAACCCTAGCCCTAAGCTATACATTCTCTGTATACTAGACATATAAAATTATAAACTGCCATGCTGGCTTATGAACAACACCCACACAGTTTCTACAAGCTTCATTGTGTTTCTTATAACTAAACTCAAATAATATTTATATTGGGTTTATATTTTTGGAAGTATATTTATACTAGAAGATGTCTTAGACGTCTGGACGAATTGAATTACTTGTGTTAAGTGCAATTAATATATTAAATGCAAAATGAACAGTTGAATGTAAAACCACAAAAAATATTTCGATTAGACAACCATGTATAATATTTCTTTGCTAAGGAGGCGTTCATTTAAAGGGGGCGTTCATTAAGGGGGCGTTCATTAATTTCTTTACTAAGGGGGCGTACATTAATTAGTTGGAGTCGATCCCGGTTGCCTATATTTGATGTCAATGCAGGTATGATGATGATCCTTACAAGCAGCTAAGAATTAATCTGCATTGCGAAAGACGCAGCTCAACTTCATCGAGTCGATCGCTCCTAAGGGCGCCTCTGCATGGCAGCAACCTTATCACATACCATACATATGTGCTACCTTCCACTGTATATACATACGTGCTATCTTATGTTATGCTGTCTTGCTTAGTTTTTATGCATCGTCCTGCAGATTCCTTGCCAACAGAATCAATTGTGTTCTTTAGATAGCTGGTACCTGATAGCAACTGGTCACGTTTTTTGGATCTTGCGTTCAGTAATGTATATATCTCCGACGCACTGGATGGACTATTTCTTGATGATATTGTCGGTACTTTCTAAAAATGTATAGCGACAAAAGCATTTTAAATCAAATCAAATTACAGTCAAATTATTTTCAAGACAACAGAATAACATAAAAACAACAGAAAATAACTTTGAGGGAAGAAGAATAACATGCCGCAATTGTATTAAACGCTCAGGCATTTTACCGCGAGACATTTTATGAAGGGCGTTTTAACAAACAATGACTTTATATGAATACTCACTTGTACATGTTTCGACACAATTTTTTCATCTAAAAGGGAAAATATATATTGTGCTTAGCAGATCACTTCTTGGCAAAAATACTTTAGATTATATAACAACCAGCGTAGGCCAAATGGCCACCAAAGCCAACTGTAAACACTATACAGCTTTAATTTCCATGAGAACGAATTGGAGTCACTATATCCCTGAAAACCGCGGGCTATGAGATCACTTACACAAAACATAAATCCTGCTTAAAAATACCAAAATAGGTAAATATCCTCATGTTCGTGCACGAATATATTTCTCTTTGATTTTGACCGAATCTCAGCCCCTTCTCTAATCCTAATCCTATTGGGCGTGAAACACGAGGGCATATATTTATCACTTATTTACTGAGACCGAGAGAAACATTGTGTTTTGTGGACCGCCGTTGTCGGCTTCACCTCCAGCAACAACGGTGGTCTCGGGGCCACAAAACACATTGCTTTTTCCTATCCTCCTCCACAGGCAACTCTGTGGCATCCCAAATGGCAAGCTTTCGAAAAATCCCCATCAAAAATGAGCTTTTTACTTTCGCGAACGGTGAATTCATAATATTTAATGTGGTTTTGGCCGAGTAGTAATAAAATTAAGGGGATTGGGCCGGGGGAAAGGCGGAAGGGAAAGGCGGGAAGGGGGCGTGGGAGGAAGAGAAAGGAAGGGGAGTTCCCTCGTTTTTCTCCTCTCCTCGTATTTTATCCCCCAAAATGCCCCTTTATCCCTCAAGTTAACTCCCAATCCCCTTAATTTTATTACTACTCGGCCAAAACCACATTAAATATTATGAATTCGCCGTTCGCGAAAGTAAAAAGCTCGTTTTTGATGAGGATTTTGCCATTTGGGATGCCACAGAGTTGCCTGCGGAGGAAGCTACTACGAAGTAAATAAGTGTTTTAGTATGAATAATTCACCGGTTATTGGAGTGAACTTAATCACCAAAACTGGATAAATGGAACGCCGTAAATGAACTTAAAAAATGAACTTTGGACTTCATGGTTGACGCGCATGCTCGTTGCATCCATTCTATTGCTGACCGGTCTATAAATGTTTCATTGTGGACCGGTTGCCTCCTCGCCAAAGCATGCAGTGAACATAACGTTTTGTGGACCGGCACGTGATACGGTTTTGACCAATCGACAAACAGAAAAATTGAACTTTGACACTAACTATATAACAAACACTTACTTATTGGGAACGAGGGAAACAGTATGTTTTGTAGACCCTCGACCGTCGATGTTTCCCGAGGCGAAAACATACTGCTTTCCCGAGGTCCCAGTAAATAAGTATTTTATTATATAGCAATAGTAAAAGAAACAACAAATTAAAGAACAAATGAACGTAAATACATGAAATATTTTATTGTTAAAACGTTAAATTAAACACTGCAGTTACTCAAAGCGAAAGTTTTCTAAAAAAATCGAGCGCTTTTCAGCATGTCCAAAGGTCGCATCTGTATGTGTCATGAGTCCACAGGGAGAATCGAAATTCTGAGATGAAAGACACTTGGTCGCATAACAATTCACGCACGAAATTAGAATATATAACCATGCTTACCCAAATCGCGTAATGTGCATGTTTCTACGCTGTTGATTTTTTCTTTCTCTTGTGTACCAACTTTCTGTTTTGCTTTGGGCTCTTGCTCTTTTGACCGAATTTTCAACAGTGTGTCCTATAAATAAATACAAAAATATCCAGGAAATGCAGTAAACAATAATAATAACTTACTAACCGAGAATGAGGGTGTACGGGAAAACAACCGGGCTTTGCTGTACTTACAAACATTGATTGAACATTCACTTCTTTTGTATTTTTCTCGTGAATTATTAATGAATGTTTTAAATACATATATTGAATATTAATTAGCTGAAAAGACGAAGGAAAACTCAGAAAATCGTCGTTCAAAGCAGACAAAACTTTGTTGGAAAACCTCGAAAGTCAGGATTTATATCAGATAATGCCTTCAGATGCTGCGCGTCCTTGGGTCACCACCTGACATAAATCCCTCCGTAAATTACTTTAATCCTGACGTAAATTACTTCGATAATTACGTTACATCTTAATTAATGAAAGCGAGGCTCCCAGAAAAGAAAGTAATCATGACGTAATTATCAAAAAGTATTATTCAGCGCTTTAAAAAATTCCACCTTTAGAAAATTTAACATGTTGCTGAGTTTATTATTATTATTATTATTATTATTATTATTATTATTATTATTATTATAATAATAAAAAAGTCAACAGTTATATCCGTAAATGGCTTGATATACCTATATCTGGAACGCTAAGCACTGTTTTCCTAACCCGCAACAAGTTTGGCCTCAGTATTTGTCCCCCATCTGTCAAATTTATTCAATGTCAAACTGTTCTCCGTAAAGCCCTAAAAACATCCCCAAACGTAGCAATTAACGATCTTTGGAAAGCAACTAGCAACAGCAAAAATATTCAGTATGACGTTTATAACTCCACTAAGCAAGTTCTTAAGGACTTTCGCTCTGGACAAGAGGATAAACTGCATACTCAATTAACCTGTCAAGGCTCTTTCTTCACTAATATAACAAAGTTCTCACTGTCCAAACTCACTAACATTTGGTCTGCGTGCCAATCGAACCTTCCGAAAAATATATTCAACTTTACAGTTCGATACATCAATAACTCCCTTCCAACGCGCCAAAACCTTGCAAGATGGGGTTTATCACCGACTTCAGACTGTTCGCGATGTCTAGCTCCTGAGACACTTCTGCACGTAGTAGCTGGTTGCCAATCGTATCTAGAACGATTCACGTGGAGACATGACTCCGTTCTAAACTTTCTCGCAACAAGCCTGCAGACCGTAAGCGGCTCACATCTTTACGTGGATCTTCCAGGGTACAAAAGTCCATCAATCATCACTGGTGACACCTACCGTCCAGATTTGCTTCTTTCAACCTCAACCGGAACACTCTATATTGTTGAACTTACAGTTGGCTTCGAATCAAATCTTCAAAAAAACGTTGAGCGTAAAAAATCAAAATATAAAGAATTAATAAGGGAACAAAATGAACATTTCAACTCAGTAAAATTTGTAAATCTTTCGATTAGTTCTCTTGGGGTTTTAAGTAAAGAATGTTCTACTTTCATAGAAATGCTTAACGATTTTGGTTTTCAAAAGCAACATCAGAATTACTGTATTAGAAGAATGACGACGATTGCAATCCGAACAACGTATTATATATTTTGTTGTCGAAACAAGGAATGGACGAATCCGGAACTGTTAACTGTTTAAACGTTGTACTGTCATTTTGTTATCTTAATAGTATAATTTTTGTATACAGTGTATATAATCAGTGATTTAAGTAGCCAATTGTAAATTACCTGATATAAGTGAGATTTGCAATTGTGTATATAAGCTAAATATCCATTTAATAAAGTTTTCATTATTATTATTACCATTATTATTATTATTATTAGTAGTAGTACACCACAATCTATTGCAAACTATCCTCACGTACCACCACATTTCTAGTGAAATATCAGGTTTGATCCGAAATATATACGAAGACTATACAGTATCGATAGGAACTAAAGAGTTTGTAACAAGTCCTATGAAAGTTGGTAAATGAGTGATACAAGGGGACTGTCTTTCGCCACTGCTTTTTAACATGTGTATCAATTCTCTTATTAAGTGTATAGAGGCGCGTACTCGGGCACTGGGATATCACTACTGTAACACTTTGAAACCCAGACACTGGTTCCAATTTGCGGACGATACGGCTCTTGTTACAGCGACAGAGGAAGAAAATCAAATGATGTTGAATGCTTTTTCAAAATGGTGCAACTGGTCAGGGTTACAAATTAGGACGGATAAGTGCAAAACTTTTGGTATCAAACACAATGGAAGAAGGTCGACTCAATATAAACCATACTTGAAGGTTAACAACGAGATGATTCCACCAGTCGAAATCGATGGATCGTTCAGGTATTTGGGTAAAATGTTCAGTTATACAATGGGAACTGATGAAATCCGAAATGAGCTGGAGGAAGAGCTGACCAGTTATTTGGATAAAGTAGACAAACTTTCGCTCCACCCAAAGAATAAACTGCTGATTATCAACAAATTTGTGTACAATAAGCTAAGGTGGCGGTTATCAGTATATCATTTATCTGAATCCTGGGCTACAAAAAGCCTAGATGGTAAAGTAATCCATTATGTAAAACGATGGTCGCATTTCCACCAAGGCGCCAATCTAACCCACCTAAAGTTATCTGTTAGCAAATTTGGATTGGGATTCCAATTGCCCTCGGACGTGTTAAAGTACTGTAAGCTCAGCATGCGACAGGTTCTTTTTAAATCTATCAACAAGGAAATTCAAGACCTTTTCCATTTAACATCTGGAAGCTATATACACACAGATTCCTTAATTGTAAACTGTGAAGGACGCCCGGGAAAGGAATTGTCAAACCAAATTGAAAACAACGTTTTGGAACATATTACGACTCTAAAGGAACAAGGTACGATTATGCAGATTATGAGGCGAGTATCATCGACGAAAATTATAAGTTTGTGGAACAAAATCACGGTCTCGATGCCCAAGAATATATATGTCTTCATAAGAAAAGCTTTAATATTTAGCCTGCCAAATAACTCAAACCTGAAACGTTGGGGTAACGTGGAGTCTGATTCTTGTGGCGTATGTGGAACTCAACGACAAACCCAGCTACTTATGTTGGCGAATTGTTCAGTTGCAGCGACAGAAGGACGTTACACATGGCGTCACGATTCCATTTTGTTTACTCTACTCCAGTTTCTAAGCCAGCTCAGTTTATATGGTTTTGAATTATACGGCGATCTAGATGGGTATCGAAGGACAAGCGAAATCTTTCAGACTTTTCGACCAGACATCGCCCTAATAAAGAATGGTGTCCTATATGTTATAGAACTTACATGTTGCTTTGAAACGAATGCAGAGAAATCAAGAGAATATAAGCAAGCAAAATACAGGACATTACAACAAGATAGTAAAGACAGATGGAGAGGCTTCCAATTTTTCACGATCGAAATAACTTCTCTTGGAATTGTAACATCTCACTTTGAAGATATAGAAGTGTTATTTAAGGGAACTAATATTAACTTTCAAAGGATGATCTCCAAGTGTATGGAAGTGGTCATGAGGGCTTCCTTCTACATTTATATACGGCGGAACAAAGAATGGACGAACCCTAATATATATACTTAAATTTTACTAATGCAGACAAGTATGAACATTTAACTGCCTGTTTTCTCAGTGGACTGCCCTGCGTTTACGCAGGAGATAAACACTTGAGTTGTTTTTATGACTATAGTACACTATATCATTTCTATATAGAATAGTTTTAGTTAGTAATCTCGATCTTTTATATACTTAATTGTTAGCAATAAATCCTGTTTCCATTATTGTATTGTTCACAAATAGCTCAAAATTATTAATTAAACTAATTAAAAATGCAATACATTTGATTTTGATAACTCTCGTAGTGTTGGTTTTCTCTTTTTCGGCCGTAAACCAATGGATTCGTCTCACTTTTCTGGATTTTTCTTTAAGGTTTTAATGTGCAGTTTTAATAAGCGAAATTGTATTGTTGACAAATCGCTTAAAATTATTAAACTAATTAAAAATGCAGTCCGTTTGATCCTTGATAACTTCGGAATTGTTGGTTTTCTCGTTTCCGCGGCCGTATGCCAGTGCATTCGTGTCACTTTTCTCCTCATTTTGACAGTATTTTGAGCTCAAAATATTTTATTTTAAAGGCTTTAAAACGCAGTTTTGATCCTAACGTACGGGACTAAATGGCGGCCGACCAGACAGTGTGTAGCGCGCTAAATATAACTTTACGATGGTTTCGAGAGGCTTGTGATCTGTCTCGATTGTAACCAAGTCTCGTCCATAGATGTAGGTTTCGAATCTTTCACACGCGAAAACAATCGTTAGTAGCTCTTTCTCTATTTGGGCGTAGCGAGTCTCGGCAGAAGAGAGTGCTCGAGAAGCATATGCGACTGGTTGACCATTCTGTAACAGGGTTGCGCCTAGCCCCGTCTGTGAAGCATCGCACTGGATAGTCACTCCTTCATCAAGATTGTAGCAGGGCCTTTTTTAACATACAAGCTGGGGGTTGGCAAATTTCCCCCAGTCCCCCCTTGTGCCCCCCACGAAATCACATTTTGCCCCCGCTCCCCAGGAAAAGTCCCTTTTCCCTAAAATTATAGAAACAAACCAGCGAAGATTAACAAATACATAAACGGAAAGTAAGTTTTAGGCTTTATCCTTTGTCCTTGTTTAACAAATTCGATTTAAATTGTTACTTTTTTCTACCACTAAGTAATGATAAATTATTGTTAATAATTTTTTTATTTTTTGGATGCTCAGAATGCAGGAAATAGCATTTCCGGGTTTCAAATTTCAAAAATTTTCTGGGGATTATCCCTCTAATAAGTAATGATAAATGATGGTTAATTTTTTTTACTTTTTGTGCGTTTTTTCCTTTATTTATTTCAAATACTAGTATAGTTAGCATAAATTTTGGAGCAAATTTGGATGCTCAGAATGCAGGAAATGACATTTGAAAGAGGGCCAAACAAATGAAAAAGCACAATTAACACAACTATATCTACTATATCTTCCATATGATATATACTATCCGCTAACATACTTCACAAGCACGGTCAACCCAAGACTCTGTGAGGTTTGCTATAGCCCCAATACACAGTCACGTCACTATTCAATGTTTCATTAAAAATTACAACATCTCTCCAATACTATCCATCTATCTCCCTGATATTATATTTTATTTATTTTTTGTTGAACCAATGGGATGGTTTGTCCAAGGCCATTTTACATGCCGTTCGACCCATGTTCGCCTTTCTCAGTTTACAGCCATTGCTAATGATATTGACCCAATATCATACCATATTGAAACGCGAAACTGGCTCGGACTGCTTCGAACTGCTTTGGACAATCAATCATTATATATACTATTTAAAAGTATTAATCCATATCAGTATATACTACGTAATGACTGCCATACTGTGCAGTCAAAAAAAATTTTTTTGCGAGACCCTGGGCACCACGTTCTTTGTGTTTTGTAAAACATATGGGATTTTAAGTCCAGGACATCTAATTAGGTTTACCCATTTGGCATAACTAAATGTTCTGCCCGATTCTATAAACCACAATTCTGGTAGATTGTACAACATCTACCTATTCTACCTATCAATAGTTAGATACATCACACAAACCGTAGGCTTCATTACATATTTCCCGGCATGTATGTACATAATTTAACTGCATGTATATACTCAACCTCGTTCCCAGGGTCTTTCTTAGAACGGCGCGAGGCGAAGGAAAGACCCTGGTTTCGGCTGGTCACGTGTCACCCAGATTCTAGGTGATAAATTAAAATAATACTATGGGCAGGGTGGGGGAGGAGCGTGTTTGTCGCGTTTGTAACAATTTTTGCAATTTTGTGTGATGAATTTTAAATTTGCAACAAGAAATCGTGAAGACAACTGCAATTAAAAATTAATATTTATCGTGATGTGACTTTCTGCTGTATAATCTAGTGTCAAGTTACAATTCAAGCAAGTTGGATCAGATTTCAACTTATAGACTTGCCAAAGAAAGCACGCCTGGGCACGCCGAGTTACGCCGGCAATAAGCCTACAAGAAAATTCATATCTCTAGACCGATCGACCGATGTGGTTTATATTTATTTAACTGTTAGTATTAAAGTATATCCTGATACTCGGACCAAAAGAATTTATTTATTGATGGGATGTGGAATTGGAACGAAATAGCGAGATCTTTTGATTTCAGAAATATCGCCAAGACGCCAACTGTGTCGTCATCGTGATTGTTGATTATAAAGGCCTTATCAAAAAACTTAAATCCCGTCAAAAGACTATAAAATTTCCTGCAAGATCTCAACGATCATGGTATATGTCAAAGTCTAGCTGTCTGTTGAAAATCTACGGTGTTAGTATTACAGTAAAGTCATACATCAAAGATAAGTCAAAGGATAATATATTTACGTCTTTCAATGAGCACTGTTTAGTACTGTGTTTATACCACATTTATAAATTTTATAAACAGCTTTCGTTTTGACACAACTCACAAGCTTTAAATTTTCTGCTTTATACTGTATATATTCTTAATAATACAAGTGAGATTTAATTTTTTTGCTTTGTGAAATAGAATACCGTTATTTTTTAATGGACAGCTTGTATCGTCTCTATCATATCCAGGATTGCTTGTGTGTATAAATAGCCTACATGTATCACTATATATGCCACTATCAAATAACTATAGAAATATAAATGAGCTTATTGAACTAGAAATAAACAGATGATTGAGACACAATGAAAACTGTTAATAGCCTTAGTAGAAGTAGAAAACTCGAAAATTTATGTGTATTCGTATGGCAGTCTGTGGCTGTGCGCGTCTGACACTGTAAATTTGTGATGTAGATTATAGCCTAGTTGTCTGTATATTAGGAAAACATTATCAGACCAAGAAAAAGGCTAAAGCCTTACTATAATTAATGAATACGAATTATGTACTAAATCCAAAATTTTAAAGATAAATCACTGACAGACATTTCTCTGTTTGGCTAGTATCAAATGTTTACATTTGCTGATATTGGGTTCTACTCTCTAGTCCTAGACAATACAATACAATACAATACAATACAATACAATACAATACAATACAATACAATACAATACAATACAATACAATACAATACTGTTTATTTTAAAAATCTTATAAACAAGACGGACAAATCTAATGCGTGTTTCAAAAACATTACATATGTGAAAAGCCCATACACTGTGAAAAGCCCATAAATGTTTGTTATAAAACCGCGCTGAATAATAATAACACGAGAGAGCACTGCGAGTAACGATTTGCTTGGTTTCTTGACTTGACTGTTGGTAAAAATGTAAAAATGTAAGAATGTTCTTGCATTAAAATTCAAAGCAAATAAAATAAACAAAAATTAGCAAGTATTTTGAACTTACTGGTAATAGTTCGCAAAATTTTTGTGGTAATAGTTCGCAAAATTTTTGTTTTTAACTGTTTGTAATTTGATGCTATCACCACACCCCCTCGGGCGATCAATTTTGGACGAGGCACGTGACCAGCCGATACCAGGGTCTTTCCTAAAGACCCTGGGAACGAGGTTGGTATATACTTATATACTAAGGAATAAACCTACAATCCTCACACAGACTCAACTACATGTGATGGACAGATTACGGAAACAGTACACAGTACAAATCAATATTTGGAATAAGTTTACAATTTCACAATGCATGGTCTGCGAAAGATACCCTCATAAGATAAATTCAGAAAACTATTTATTCATACCAGATACAAAAAAATTACAAAACACAAAATCATAAGTCTTGTTACCAATTCTAAGTTTGTAATATCGCAGTATGGTCAAATCCGACCCTGTGATAAATTCATGTGCATCATCAATTTACACCTATCAATTACCAAGTAATATGAACTTTACAGACAGTACATGCTAACTTCAATTACGATACTTCTACAATGGATTTACATAATAAGACAAAAAACAACGCACGCATAATATGCGTGCACCTTTTATACAAAAAAATTTGCGGCATGGTCTACTTTCAAGACCCCGTTTAATATAAAAGAAATCCATTAGATAAATAACGATTACAAGCAAACAGGTCCAAGACGCATGTAGAGGTCCTATTACCTATTCCAAAATTAAAGTATTTGGAGCAAATTTGGATGCTCAGAATGCAGGAAGTGACATTTCCGGGATTCAAATTTCAAAAATTTTCTGGGGGAGTACTCCACCAGACCAGCCCCCGGCCCCCATTCATGCGTGCTATATTGGCGACACACGTAGCCTTCAGCCATTGCTATCCCCTTCTAATATATTATCTCATAGAAAAGTCCCTTTTCAAAAAATGCCCCCCCCCGGGAAAATCCTTAAAAAAGGCCCTGGATTGTAGTATTTGAGCACGGGTGTACAGGTGACTGCTTTCTTTAGGTCGTTTAGTGCCGTTGCTTGTGTTTCTCCCCAGGTCCACTCTACCTCTTGTTGGGTGAATTCACGTAATGGCTTGGTGAGGTCCGAGAGATTTGGCAGAAACTTGCTCAGGTACTGCGCTAGTCCGAGTAGCCGCTGTACACCAGCCTTGTCTGTCGGAGGTGGCATCTCTTCGATTGCTCGGACAAAGCTGGATCAACGCGCAGACCCTCATTTGTAGCCAAATGCCGATGAAACTTATTTGAGTTTCTCTGAGCTTCAGCTTATCTGCATTCAGCGTTTCCTGAAATGCTTGCTCGTCGAGCTGATGAGAGAAGTGAGATGTGCTTGTTTATGGATCTCGGCAGTTAACAATAAATGAATGTTCAAGTTCATGATGCTACGTGGGTGGTTTGAGTGTCTGTCTATCTATAATGGTTGCTTATTGGGTTTCCTAAAATATATGTATTTTCAGATCCGTCGTAGCTATCCATGGTAAAATCAAACAAGACGCTCTATGGAGCGTAAAAATCGCTGGGACTATACAAATGAAAACTAAATTTTAATTTGTCACCATATTTGCTCATAATTTGGTAACCGCTAGAGAAAAACAGAACAATTTACAGAAAACAAGATGCCAGCTCAGGCGTTCTGAAACCGGCCTCGGTTGGCCAAATAACCTGTCATGTGAGTTTCGTTTCAACCTCGGCGCGAAGCGGTTGGTTTTGTTTATTTGTTTTTGTGATATGCATTGTGCATAATTCAGACTAAAAAGCTATTAAAGGAATACCGAATGGTTTTTCGTGCAGGATTGCGTGATCCATGCACGCGGGATGTTGCGAGACTTTCGGAAAGCGTAAAAATACACGAGTCGTAGGCGACATCCCAAGTGCATGGATCATGCTATCTTGCACGGGAAAACCATTTGGTAATTGTTTTATAAAATTACTACAGTGAAACGACACTTAACTTGATTAAAATTAATGATGAAATGTGCAGTTCTCACAACATTCGTGAATTAACCAATCAGAGAATCGCTACTCCACGCTATTGAAAACAACAACATATGTGAACAGAATTTGATCGCAAATTCGCGAAAATATACAGCGAAAATACAGGGACTTTTTCGATAAAATATACGAAATTTGAAATGGAAACCCCGCTAAACAGAGAGCCAAAGTAGTTTTGAAGATTCTCGACCTGAATATGTGAAGATTGCGAAGCGTTTGATCAACTTTGAAGCGAGAGATGTTGTACTAGCTTGCATGCAACGGTCTGATGAATTTCAACGCTACGCGTTGCTACTTGCTGAATAGCAATGTATTGATCAGAAATTTATTCATACAACTAAACCAACGTCTCAATAATTGGAAACTTACTTCAAAGTCGAAAGCTATCGTACAATGAAACCTTACAATGCGAGTATATTTGTAAACTTATGTCCAAGATTTCTGTTCAAGTCCAAGATTGTCTGATCCTGCACGGCTGTTGACCAATCAAATTGTATGTTTCACTGTAGTTATTATATAATGTGTCTTTCTGTTTAGGCAACACATGCTGTGCTTTTGTCCTTCACACGGAAAACGTGCAAGAGCAAGTTTATAGAACCAGACACAGTACGTACTACAATGCGGTGCCCTACAAATAAAATTTCGGCGTTTCCGCCTACAAGCAGGGATGCCAGAAGTTGCTGAGGGCAAGGGGTGCTATTTGTTATAAAAAGGGTATATTTTTTTTAAAAAAGGCAGAAACAAAAATGAAAAGGCACTTAGTATACCCACTTATAACCTAATTAAAAATCAAATACAAGCATTGAAGCAACCTTTTATTTAGCCTGCGTAGCTGCAGTCTCTTTATTTTATTGAAGGTTTTGAGGATTTTTGAATAGATAAAGCGACTGCTACGCAACAACTTTTTTTAATTTCAAATATTAAAATAAGGAAAACAGAATTAGCAGAAACTGTTTCACTTTCTCTTCTACTGAAGAAAGAAATTTGTGTGGCCGTTTACTAGGTTATGAAACTAAATCGTTCATTGTCTATAGCATATTCGTTTGAAATCTTTTCAGTGCACGCGTTGCACCCTGATAGTCTGCACCCGCACTGCACCCAAAAAGTTTATATGAATGCAAAAGGCATGGGGTGCACTTGCACCCGCTTCACCCATGGTTCCGGCATCCCTACAAGTAAAGTTATATTTAGTATGCCAGATTCTTCTGTCAGCCGCCATCAAAAATACTATCAAACTGAAGAGAGAAGTGAGACGAATCCACTGGTATACGGCAGAAAAAAGAGAAACCAACGATACCAAAGTAATCAAGGATCAAACGTCCTGCATTTTTCACAACTAGTATAATAATTTTGAGCGATATGTCAACAATACAATTTCGCTTGGCTTTCAAAGACAAAGGCCATAAATCGCTTGAATACTGTTGTTTAGTAATACATTTGACATCAGTAAGTACAAGTTCTTACGCTGATTCGAACGTTGTTATTTTTATCCTTATTGCGCCATTAGGCATTACAAATACAAATACAAAAACAAACGTATACTGCGAGTGATTTGTCAACAAATACAGTACGTACTGCAAGCGATTTGTCAACAATACAATTTCGATTTGCCAACAATACAATTTTTAAAACGACGATACAAAGAAAATGGATTGCTGAATGCCTTCAGGAAATATCAAAGTTTAGAGTTTAAACTACATGCAAAAGGCGAAGCTTGATCTGACCTTTCTCGAGGACTGTAAAAAGAACAAGGTAATCCCAAAGTTTTTGAACTTTAAACTTGGTAACCGTCATCTGCAAAATTCAAATGGGTATTTACAATGCCAACGCAAGTTACTAAATGAAGAAATATCGATCAAACATTCTGGAATAACTGTCCTATCCGTTGAAGTTATACTGAAGCACTCTCTAAGCTAACCGCACTAGTTTCTACAATCGATGCAATACATCTTAGATGTGTTTGTGATCGTGAAAATTCCGCTAAACTCCGTCATATATGATCAAAGAATCCAACAAAAGAAACTTTTTCGTTTGTGTGGTGCACGTGATGCGACTAAATCTTCAACACCAGATCCTGATAAAGTAATTTTTAATTACTCATCCCGCGCATTGATCTCCTAATATAGAAGATCCTCCTAGCAAGAGGCCTCAAGCAAGATGCGCAGAACGGCTCAACCATGCCGATTTTGGCAGGCATCTGACCGATTCTAGGTAAGTACCATGAGATGCCTGCGGAGAAGGCTAATTATGATCGTGCACGTACGGGAATTCAACGAACCGAATTTCGGGTTTTCAGAGTCGTGCACCAAGAAAAATGCATTAACTAGACTAGCAAAAATTCCCAGATCTAGACACAATGCAAAATCCATAGAAAACAGGTACAATTCGTTGAAAATTTTAGCGAAATTGTTTGAAACATTTTGCCCTCTCCACGATTGCCGCCATTAATTTTGAAAAGGATAAACTGGGTTTTATTAGGCAGCTCATTAATATTCTATTTTCATGTGGCTATCAACGACGATCGGAAATCCGTCATCCGACATCCACCATGCGTGCCGAAACTTATACTCGCCTAGGCACAGGTGCCCCAGCGAGTAATTAACTATTGCTATCTCTTTTGATCCGCGGTTTTCCATTGTTGAAAACTATATCAAACGAAATAAAAGTATGCCTGTGTTTGTGAATTAGTTCATAAATTCCAGTCTTCGATCCGTCCTGACCGTGTAGCTTAGCCGGTAGCGCATCGATCTAGTAATTCGAAGGTCGCGTGTTCGAAACTCAGCCGCGGCAAACAAAGTTATCTGCTTTCGAGCTGTCTGGAAATTATGATATATCTCACTCCAGAACATTTTCTCCTTATGATATTACCAACTGAACAATAACAGAAAAATGCAAAGCCCACTTGAGCATTCTGGCCCCATTGTCTAGATGCGTCGATGCCTTCGTGTTGTACCACATGCGCTTGGTGAGAGCACGGTCATATGTATAAATACGAATGTGTCATGCATCTAGACGCGTAACCACGCTGCAATGACGAGGCGTTGAACGCCGAAACATGCATGTATATAATATGATATCCTGCTCATCAGCACTATAGAGTACATGCCCGATGAGGCCCAAATGGCCGAAACGGTACCGTCTGTATAGTTATATATTTTCCCATACTAAGATTTTTTTTCTTATATATTACGAAAACGTTAGATGAACATGAGTTTTAAAAATAAAGTACAGAATTAAGCACGGAATTAAATTTAAAGTACTGTTAACTAGCAGAATAGCTCACGTTCTTGCTGCAAATCTGACAAAACATTTCTAGTATACAATAAGCAAACATGTTTACGTGAAATAAATATTAATCTAAGACTAGACGTATGAACAGCATGGCTGATCTTTTCTTATGCGCCACGAGTACACTACATACAATACCAACGCATATAAAATGTGGTATTTTCTTTTATCAAACTTAATAATCTATGAAAAAGACTAATTAACTTAATATCCCACGATAAGGACGAAAGAGCAGATATCTCCAGATGTTGAACTGTGTATCTTGTAAATGTCGATCCTCATTTCTACAAGAGCAATGCAAAGAAAACCTTAATTCACTTATAAAGTCAATTTAATTCCTGGATCCTGTATACATTGGGAATCAGTGGTTAATAATATACACTTCCAGGGGCTGTCTCGCAGAATTTTGGAAGTAATACGCAGTTTCTAAAGAGCTAAAACGGTAGATCTTCGTGGGGACGCCTATGAACTCTTTTTCAAGGAGTCATTTTTAATGAAATTTTTCATACAATATGAAAAATATCATTCAACAATAAACCAAATCTATGTAATTATATACAGTGTAATTATAGCCGATTCAACACTTCGGAGATTCCGCCCAGGAAAGATAAAGTTATCAAAATTGCGAACCAAATACGATTCAATTAGATAAAGTGCCCGGTCGAAATCAGACATTTTGAACTTTTGTGAAAATGCTAAAAAGTATTAAAAATACTCTTATGAAAAAGGTATCAAATTTCTCAGGACATAGGTGTATATTAATATTCATGCGGTTGAGTTTAATAGAATAATTAGCTTACAGTAATGTTTATTCCCTAACCAGTTTGACATATTTTTACAAATGACAAATCACATGCGAGATTGAAATTCTGAATCTAATCAAGTGTGGAAGTGGGATTTGCAATCGATGTGGCCAGACGCTCTCCGTTCTCGCTTCTCATTTATTTCGCCTCGCAAAGAGCCTCTGGCACCATGGTAGCTCCGTGGTTGATTTTCCTAACTATACGTGCATTATTACGTACATTATTGCGGTAATGATGGACATTACATTGTGTCATATAACTGCGTCTCTGTTAAAAAGTTTTTGACGTTTGTGGTTGTGGTTGTACGTGGAAAATGTTTGTCAGTTAAAACCCATTCACACTTTAGGTGCGATTTTCGGTGCGATTTTCTTCTTCTGATGCATGTAAACGAGTGGATGCGTTATGAATGTTCAAATGAGGGTACATATACTCAGAACATTAATAATTCGTCTACTCGTTCACATCGTTCAGAAGAAGAAAATCGCCCTAGAACTCGCAGCAAAAAATGCAAGTGTAAACGGACCTTTAGGCTGAGGAAATTGTGCCCGTGTTGGTTTTGGCAAAGGGTTAAACCAAATGAAATAACGTTGCCTATTTCTGCGTAGTTGTTGTGGTGTCTCATTCAATTCATGTATAAACAAGCTTTCGTTGGTAGCGATATGGATGCAACTATTTCGATGCAAACGTTTCTAAAATTGGCAACTAATAATAAATTGGAGTTGAAACAAAAAAAGAAAGAAACAATTTGCAAACCACACAAATGGTATCCAAATTGGAATAAATTATGAAATAGAACTTTCAAGTTCTATTTTAAAATTTAAAAAGAACAAGAAAACAATAATGAAATTATAGGAAATTTTTACGTTTAAACATTCCTGCTATACGTATAGATACAGACAGTCGTCATTTTGATCGAATGCAATGCGCAAGGCCGCCCAGAGTTGCGCAGGGCCTGGGAAAAATTTTCCAAAGGGGCCCTATGACGTCATAATTCTAAAAAGGGAGAAGCGGTGTTTTACAACACAGTATATATTTACAATTTATTACATATTATCCGACACTAACGAATGCATCTAAGGATTTTTAAGGGCCTTCTCGGCTTTGGAGGCCTTGTTTGAGTTGGGGACCTTGGTCAAAGTGCCCTCCCCTCTCTCGGGGGCCCTGGTAAGGTAACGATTTCTATCTCCATGCTTGGCGGGAATCGCAATTTCGACGTGACATGTGAATTAGTGGGGAAGTAGAATATTGATATAATATTCTTGATTTCTTCTGATCATGAATTGGTTAAATTTGGCACTAATTATAGTCAAACTTGCATGATGGAGGGAAGCGTAACTGCAAATAAATAATTGTCATTTCAAATTCCTATTTTTAGTGTCGGGTTAACAGCAGTTAAAAAGAAGTTAAAAAGTAGTTAAAGTTAACTGTGCGCAAGGGTATCGTTAACTTCTCAAAACGTAGTTAAAAATGGTGCTGCAGTTAGGAGTGAACAGCATTTTCAGTAATGAAAAGAAACACTTACCAGGGATTGTCAATCGCTATATCATCTCCACGAATGTTAGTCCTGACAGTTAAAAACTGTTAAAATGCTATATCGCTTTGGTCTTTTGGCGAAAACAGAATATATTTTTTGCACGGGAAAATAGATTTCTCTAACACGAAGTAGGACCCATTACACCAGGAAACATGATATATAATTTCCAAATAGCTACACGTCGGTTTAACGTGACACCTCGCGGAATGTTTATTTTCCACTATTTTGAATCAAATTCCCGCGGATTTGCAGAATGCGAGTCCACAAACATGTTAAAAATGCTTGTCAGTAGTTGTTAATCACCCATTACTTAATTTAAGAAAGCCTCACACACAGTTAACTACGTGATTAGTACTACCCAAGTAACTACGTTTTGTGCAACGCAGTTAAGTCATATAGTTAACTATTAACTACAGTTAAGGATTTAATTACGGGTGGTAACGCTAATTGTAGTTAACTTTCACTAAGTTTTTATACAACAGTTCCCCGGTTTTTACACGTATTTACCTCAACATGTTTGTACATTAGTTGAAACCGACTGTTCTTGCTGAACATTTGCATTCATATTCTCTCTACTATCAGCAAAACCTTTGTTATCCGACACTTCGTTGTTTGGAATGCCATTCCAGAATAACTGTTCATCGCAGCCATCGTCAGAGTCGTTAGTTACCTTAACGGAAAGTCGCAAATTGATTATTTTATGTGAGATTAGAGCTAGGGTTTAATTATAGTTGAATGGACATAAACCCGTGACGCTTAGTTAACAATCTCTGTCAACTGACGTTTTTTATTATACAGTTATTTCTTAGATCGTACAAAAGATATCATATCCAAGTAACTAGACTCTTCTCTAAAATGTCACCTTCTATATTAGTACAGACGTGGTCACAAATAGTCGCTAGTTTCATTCTCGCGCATTTATCGGTCATAGACCTGGAGCAACGAGCACCTAAATGATGAAATATCCTAAGGGCTAAGCCCGAAATACCCCTTCGTTGCTAGTGGCCAATAACCTCCTAAGTTCATTATTTATTTCGTGTTCAACCTCTGCTGATTCCGCTGCTTCTGGCCGATGAAATTGGACAACTGACTGGGCAGGAGCGGGGTATTCAAAGTCATATTCCCCGCTCAAGCGCGGTATTCGAGTCGAAAAGACCCGCGGAACGAGATTCCCACGACATGGTATTTCCTGAAGATAATATGGTCATGTGATGGAAAACAACTTCTCTGATTGGACAATCTTATTGCGAGGGGTAATATATGTTGGAATAATGTTTTTCTAGGACATTATTATTTACTTATAATTGTATAAACGAGAAAATTAAACAAGTCGTAACTTCTTCGTGCAATAAATATGACAGTTTCTCAAAATGCTACATCAAATTATGGAATATCTTTAAGACCTAGAAAAAATGGGTTAATTTCTATGTTCATTTTCGCTTTTGGCCTGTTATCCAGTTACTTGACTATGGCTTTAATTTACCTGGTTTAGCTGGCCATCCTCTTCTTCACCATCCAAGTAAACAAAATAATTATGTGAATCAGGGAATTTCTGGACCGAAAAATCGTTTGAAATTACATCTCCGATTGGATGCAATTGCAGTAAACCTTATCTGAGCATGTGCATGATATCTGCATAAACGGGACAACTGAAACAAACCACTATACTCAGAATTTGCAATAATGATCGTTTTCTCCTGTAGATCATACCAAACGCAGCCCGACTATGTCCTATTTAACACCACGTCGGTCATATTCAGCGGACATCTCGCCAAAAATGGCAGCCCTGTGTAAAACGTTCCAATTTTTTATCGGAGGTTCGCTGAAAATATGAGCCTGCTGTACTGGGAGAAAACGTCCTAAATATTCCTAGTGTGCATATAAAAACATCAGGACAAGCATAAACATACTTCAAACACTAACTAATCATTCACAAGCTTATTGGCAAATCATGTGAACCATAATACGTCACGCGCAGTGGCTTTAAAACATGTTATATAATATAGCATTTGTAAATTCTGAACGCTGATTGGCTAAGAGCCGTGTTGATATAACTCGATGTCAACACGGGAAATTTTCCTCCGCTTGTAAACACGGAAATTTTTCTTATCCTTCGGGCTTTTGACAGTGCTATATTATAAAAAAATATAAAACATTTTCCCGTATTGATATGTAGTTATATCAACACTCGTGGAAGTTGGGAAAACTCGAAATTGTATGAAAACACTCCGCCCTTCGGGCGTCGTGTTTCCATACAATTTCTCGTTTTCCCAATTCCACTCGTGTTGATATAACTGTATATCAACACGGATAATGTTTTATATTTGTTAAATGAAACACTCCTATACTAATTAATATTTTTCATATAAAGAATACTAATAAGGCAGTAAATCTATTGAATTTGTAGTCGTGTTTGAAGCTGTTTAATAAACTCCCAGGTCGTGTTTTAAACCTAATAAAACACTCCTGCTCGTTTATTAAACAGTACTGTACATAATCTCCATACGGTTGTATCAAAGCAATGCTTGATGCGAAAAGAACAATCGAGGGAAAAGCGAGGGAAGAGGAAATGGTTGAAACTCCAGACCGTTGCTGTTCAATTTCCAAAACTATATATACCCGATTCTGACATTGATATCTACATCACGTTTTTCATGTTTACAAAGAAGTACCGATAAATTTGAAAAATAGGTAAGTATTTAATGATATTCCTGCTCACATATTAGCTACATTGAATGTGTTCCACAAGTTGCGTGGACATGATTTTTATTCAAAATATTACTGCGATTAGAGATTTCAGAGATGTAGTCATTGTACTTATACTCAAACGACTTGTTTTAAAAGGCAAAAGACTGTTATTGTTATGAATAGTTCTAAACCGTGGTCGGTTTGCCTTCGGATTGCTTCTGTTGACAAACAGTTGACCAAGCAACGTATATGCATGGAACACACCATACAGCTACTGCGGAGATAAACGCTGGAGTTTTTTCATTCTCCTCGCATTTTTCCTCGCGTATATGCACATTATACTCTCTCCGCGTGTTTCTACACTGACTCCTTTAATTGATATAACTGTGTGGATATTATATGTACAGTATGTATGAGGTTTGTATTGATATTTATTGATATTAAATACTTAGGATCCATCATAGGTGAGCTCACATGCATGTGCTCATAATATATGCACCGAGTGCAAAGTGTTTTATTGTCGAACCAATATCATTTGTCGAACAGCCAATCCACTCAAGCTTGCTGTAAAAATGCATACTACATCAGCATTAGAATTTCCGCAAAAAAGTTATCGTACAAATAAAATAGTTTTGCATACCTTCACTTTGGATAGACTGCTGCATTAAACTGTCTAAATTGACATAGGGCTTTTCTTTATGCTCAAGATCCCATAATTTATCTGATAATTCAGTAAATGTTGGTCTGTCTTTTGGAAAATGACTCCAACACTTTAGCATTATCTCATATCTAAAATAATTATAGAAATCTAATTATTAATTTGGCATTTCCCTTTGTAAGATTTGGATTGTTCAAAATTTAAATAAAATAAACTACTGAATTAAAGTATGTGTTTCTATCACCAAGAAAATGCTGCCTCAAACTCAGAGCGTCTATAACATGAAGATTGAGAAAAACACACATTGAGTTCTTTGGTGTCCCTCAAAGTAACAATAGGGAGTTTGGCAATCTAGAACGGCAACGACAACGGGAACGGCAAAAATATAATTGCTTATATTGTTGTAATTGAGCCAAAGTATACGTTGCTACACTTAATTTGCCTGTTTAAGTATTCCTGTTTCTCTCGGCAAACAGCCCCTAAGTAAAAATAGTCCGCGAATCCAAATAAAACACTTCAAATAACATCGAACGAACTAACTGTTGCCGTAGTCATGCACCGGTGAAAGTGATGCAAATAACGTACCAATTTCAACAACTACGGCATTGGACAAAGCTAAAGACCATGTAATTTACATTCGCCTTTGTCTTTGAGGATCAATGCATATTGTTGATGAACACGCCCTTACAAAAATTCCACATGATTTCACATGTGTGAAATTTCACATGTGAATTTGGAACATGTGATTTTTCACATGTGAAATTTCACATGTGAAATTATGTTTCACATGTTCCAAATTCACATGTGAAACTTCACATGTGAAATTTCACATGTGAAGTTTCACATGTGAAACACATAATTTCACATGTGAAAAATCACATGTTCCAAATTCACATGTGAAACTTCACATGTGAAATTTCACATGTGAAGTTTCACATGTGAAACACATAATTTCACATGTGTTCACATGTGAAAAATCACATGTTCCAAATTCACATGTTCCAAATTCACATGTGAAATTTCACATGTGAAACTTCACATGTGAAACACATAATTTCACATGTGTTCACATGTGAAAAGTCACATGTTCCAAATTCACATGTTCCAAATTCACATGTGAAACTTCACATGTGAAACACATAATTTCACATGTGCTGACATGTAAAACTTCACATGTGAGATATCACATCTTCCAAATACACATGTGAAATATCACATGTTCCAGTTTCACATGTGAAATTATGCAAAGCTTCAATCATGCACATTTAAACCTGTCAAACAGTGAGATACTGTATACATAGAAAGTTGAAATAACTTATTTATACAGTTAATTGCTACAAATGTTTAGCTACCATACAAAATAATTTATAATAAGGAAAAAACTTAGCAGTTCAAATGTCTTCTGCAATTTTTCTTCTTTTCGTCTCAGTATATCTTTTGTCTTTGCACTTTTGGGCCATGGCAGCTTTCACTGATGAAGCTTTTGCTCCCGCAAAATGTTTAGTCACATGAACTATAAGAAAGGAAATACAAGACTATCATTAGCTCTACATATTTCATGTACTGGAACTCCACAGTCAGTTAACATTACAGTATATAGCACTTCACACTTTGCATGCAGCAATATGAGCAGTTCTCTCCTGTCCAACCTATAAACTTTCTACCTTATTACGAATGGGAGGACCTACTGTAGTAGCACAACCCAACCCTTGGTTGAATTATAGTTAGTTCTAGTATTATCATAATTGATAACCCTTGGTTCATATGTCTTTTGCCCTGATACATGGCAAATTGGAAAGTGCTGCAAGGCTATCTTCTCAACAAGTAAAATAGTAAAATTTGCTGGCATTAGACAGAGTAATATAAATAGAGTGCATATTGCCAGTGAATGGGTTAACAAGAGAAATATGCAGATAGTATTTGTTAACAGACATCTCAACAGCACCTCCAATATTTTGCAAGGTATCTGCTACTGGTTGTTGGTATTTGTGATTTAATATGCTATTGGCTCATTCCAGAAAACATTGAATAGATTCATAAGATTATGATTTAACCTTAGTTATATTGGAGAGGAGTGCTACTTGTTTCAGTAATCTACTCAGTGATATCACTGACAAGTAAAATCATCTGACATTGGGTCATTACAGAGAACATCGATATCTCCCCCATAAAGGAAATTGGAAGTTAACCCCCTTTCCCCTTTGAAATTTGAATGTCCTAATACACTTACTATTATCAGAAACAATTTTTTCTCCCCTCCCCTCCAGATGGTAGAAATTTCCTCTGTGCCCAGGGGAGAGTGGATCTTTTCTGGAACGACCCATCAGACAGAGTAAAACAATAAAGTTGTGGCACAATGCAGCTTATGCCATGTCCGGCCTAGTGTAATATCCAGTTAACACCCCATCTTAATGACCTGCCAAACTTCTTGAGCAGTATTCCTGTTTTGTTGGGTTAATATGGCCATGTGTTTAGTGAACCCAATAAGTTGTATTGTACCCTTGTGTGTCCTACTTCCTTATTTTCCTGTCTTTTAAATGCCAGATTATTGTACTCTGTCTAATGCCAGACCATTTTACTCTCAAGGCTATGTGGATCGTTAAGTATACTGGTGCATAAATTCTGTTCTTATAAATTAATGGTTATTTATAAGTTAATTAATTCAATCTAAAATCCTTCGTAAACAATACATTTTATAGTGCTGGTTTAGTACATAAGAGTGCTGTAAGTGTAAGCCTGTAAATATAGCCTGGCAAAGTCTGTTTAAGGACCTGTAGGTATACTGTAGCCACTTTGTAATTATTATGATCCCGCCGGCATGATCCAGCTTGCAATATGAACTCTATCAACAGTTTAGTAATTAAAGTGAATTATTCTACTTCTATCTGGCCTAGACAGGATCCCACCTGCCAGGACAAGAAACTCTCATATAAGTACTCTATCATCCCTGCCAGGTGGGGTGTATTCTGTCTATATTAACCAATTAAGCACCAGCGCTCTCCCCTTGACGAGTAAAATCGTCTGGCGTTAGACAGAGTAAAATCGTCTGGCGTTAGACAGAGTAAAATACTAAAGTAGGGTGCATCAGGGTGCAATGTGACTCAATGGGTTAAACACACCATCCTGGATTAAAACCTACTGTCCAGTCATGCCATTATCATATAAACAGGCACATATATGTACAGGGTAAACTCTAGAAGGGTTTAGCTTGGAAATCCTTCAACCTCAAGCTAGCAAAAGTTTACACTTTTTTACCATATTGTGGGAAGCACTAACCATTTAGCAGGGCTGCAAATTACTGTCGGACATCGGACAATGTACGACTAAATTTGGCAAATGTCCGAGCAAAAATAATTTTGATCGGACATTGGTCTGATCACAAAAAAAAATTGTCACATTATACATTTTTTTGCTGTCACAAAATCCGATTGCAAATTCACTCATTTTGCAATAATATTTATGAGGCATTCTAGCATTTAACTTAACATTGCATCGTAATGGCTATACATACTTTTCTCGTGACTTATATATATCTTGTGACGTATACTGTATATGTCTGACCAAATTTAGTGGTGTTGGTTTTTGTCCGACCAAATTCAAGTTATGTCCGACCAAAATTAAAAGTGATCGGACAAATGTCCTGTCAAGTCAAATATTTATTTGCAGCCCTGATTTAGTCGTAATGCGCCCTGATGCATTCAATAGTCGTGTTTACACTACCAGCCTTGGCCTGCACTTGGCCTACATTTTGACAGTGTAAACAGACTTTGGCCTAGCCTAATGGCCTGACCTGGGCCAGGAAATCTGGGCTGACTACAACCGGTGGCCTAGACCTGGCCTAACCTTGTGGGGATGTAAACACTTTCGGCCCTGGCCGGGGCTTATTTTCATGGCAACATGTGTCCACAGTGAGAGATTAGCGGACAACCAGCGAACAATGTCACAACACATAAAAATACACAAAATTAATAACAAAATTCTTGGCCAAAGTGAGCCTCAAAAACGTGCCACATTTACCTTGGCCTGGCCAAGGCTAGGCCAAGGCTTGTAGTGTAAACACGACTAACCCGGCCAGTAACCCTAGGCAGAGTTAATGCCTAGGTGATTTTACTTGTCAAGGGGAGAGAGCTGGCACGCAATGACTTGAAAGACCTTGGAAATCCAGGGGAGAGGTGATTAAAAGAACAGAATTTAATTAATACTCTCAAATAATTCTCATGTTTTGGCTTATAAAATAGGCTTGTAGCAAAGCCATATTTATATTCATATTCACATATTTTCACATATTGTTTCAAATAATACACTGTGTGGGTTCAAAGATGCTTTCTCGAGTTTTGTCAAACAAGTGCAACCCAGTATTTACTATAATGTGCTTATTCAAAATTTGAATTGTTGGTTTTAACTAATATTTGGCTCTATATAAAATCTCTCGCGCGCAAATTCAAATTTTAGCAGCCACAACAGGCTAGTACAGCCACAAGATAAAATGAAATAATAGGGTCGATGGACGTTATAATTATATGATATAAAGAGTAATAATACATACCTGAGATCAATAAGCCTTTAGCAGGACTTAGAGTCACTTATCGGTCCTTATCCAATGCGAAATATAACTTTTCTTGAGCGAAATATATCCAAACGAAAAAATCGAAAATTTGCAAATCACACTTTGACACTTGACATTTGATACGCGATATCCCACAACTCATTGCGCGCGTGCCCTTGTCTTCTAAAATAGATACACCAAAAAGCGCTCCCTAGCTTTACTATGCGATTTTAAAGGACTTAAAGTAATATTAATTAAACTTCATTTCAATTTTTTTTCCTGATTATAAGAATCTTATTCTAGGTTGGAAAAATGTCATTCTTAAAATAAGAAAAAATTTCTCGAAAATTCCAATTCTTGCCTTGTTCTCAAAACGAGATTTTTTTCTTGAAATATTGCTTGATAAGAAATAATTACTGGAAATAAGAAAGATAATCTAAAAAATAAGAAAATTATTCTAGATCCGAATTTGATGTTTTTCAGTGCATAATTTTATGTGAAATTTCACTTTTTACTTCATATGAAATTTCACTTGCATATTAACTTCATATTAGCCTGCGAACAGGCTCTCAAGGTGAAATAAGACTTCATATAAAATCCTTTAACATGTGAAATTTCACTTTTTACCGTTCATGTGAAATCCTAAATCACATATGAAGTTTCGCATGTAACTTTATGTGAATTCCTTTCTCATGTGAATTAAAATTTCACTTTTTTACTTCATATAAAATCATTTCTCATGTGAAATTTCACTTGTAATTTCATGTGAAATCTTTAATTTTCACATGTGAAATGTCACATGTGATTTCATGTGAAATCTTTTCACATGTGAAATTTCACTTGTAATAAGTGGCGGCGCCAGGGGGGAGCAATTGAGCAAATATATTGGGGGCGAATATCCTAAAGGGGGGAGATATTCCTAGGGTATTCGCCCCCATTTTGAGGGGGGACGAATCTCCTTTGGGGGAAGGGAGTCATATGACAACGGCATGGCCAAATAGCACAACCTATTTAAAAATTTTATCTCCCCCCCCCAAAAAAAATTATGAGTTTGCACCTGAAATGCCCCCCCCCATTTTTGAGGCCTGGCGCCGCCACTGCTTGTAAATTAATGTGAAATCCTTTCACATGTGAAATTTCATTGTAATTTGTAATTTCATGTGAAACCTTTCACATGCGAAATTTCTTTCGTAATTTCATGTGAAATCGTTTCGTACATGTGAAATTTCACTTTGTAATTTGTAATGTCATGTGAAATCCTTATCTTTTCACATGTGAAATTTCACTTGTAATATCATGTGAAATCTTTTCACATATGTAAAATTTCACTTGTAATTTGTAATTTCATGTGAAATCTTTTCACATGCGAAATGTCACTTGTAATTTGTAATTTCACGTGGAATTCTTTCACATGTGAAATTTCACTTGTAGTTTTATAATTTCATGTGAACTCCTTTCACATCTGAAATTTCACTTGTAATTTCATGTGAAATATTTTCACATGTGAAATGTCACATGTAATTTCATGTAAAATCTTTTCGCATGTGAAATGTAACATGTGATTTCATGTGAAATCCTTTCACATGTGAAATGTCACATGTGATTTCATGTGAAATCTTTTCACATGTGAAATGTCACATGTGATTTCATGTGAAATCCTTTGACATGTGAAATGTCACATGTGATTTCATGTGAAATCTTTTCACATGTGAAATGTCACATGTGATTTCATGTGAAATCCTTTCACTTGTGAAATTTCACATGTGATTTCATGTGAAATTTTTTCACATGTTAAATTTCACATGAGATCACATAATTTCACATGTTATCACACGATTTCACATGAAATCACATGTGTGAATTCATGTGGATTTTTTGTAAGGGCGTTGCCGTTGCCGTTATAGGTTGCCAAACTCCCTAATAGAAACCTTAACAACGGCAACGTGTCGACGACGGCTATTAAAACAATGATATTTAAAATATATTATTTAATTAATTAAGAAAAGAAATAAATAATTAGTAGCCCAAGGGATCGAGTTTGAGACGCCATCCAAATCAATAATATTATATACAATAATAATCTTAAAACTGTCTTTCCGATCATTTATTCGAATAATTTACATCTCAAGGGAGTATGAGACGTCATCCAAATCAATAATATTATACAGGGTGTCTCAAAAAAACCCAAAATCATTGAAATTGACGTATTGTTCGATATTCAATGCCCTAGCACTAAGTTAATCTCACGAGTGCATAAAAGATTGACATAACTGCTATAATGAATGGTAATACTCAGCGTAAACTTGTTATGTCAGGCATAAAGTACTAAACCCACGAATGCATATTACGCATATTACAATTTACGAAGCATTTTTAAATTCCCATGAGCAAACAAACGTTCACTTTACAAAGATATTTTAATTTTTTAAAACAAATTAATCACCCTGTCAAAATCCTTTGTGTTACGGCATTGAAATTCGAACAATACGTTATTTCAATGATTTTGGGTTTTTTTGAGACACCCTGTACAGTAATAGTCATTTAAACTTTCTTTTCAAAAATTTATTTGAATACCTTTGTTATGGCCGTCGTCGTCACGTTGCCGTCCTACATCGTAAGGTCTCTAATGCCATGCACGAAGGAGAACTGAGATTTTCCCTGGACTGATTAGCCCTCAAACATTCGTATATACACGGTTTTGACAAAACTTTCATTATATATTAATTATAGTTTATCGAGATATCAATAACAAAGTTAGTCTTTTTACAAATACTATAATAGACATATTAGATAAAACAATACCTGTAACCACGATACGTACCCATGCGTCTGACAAGCCATGGATGACGGCTTATATCAAAAAAGAAATTAAAGCGAGGCAAAAAGCCTATACTACTGGGAACATGACCAAATATAGACAATTGGCTGATAAGATCATTACACTTATCAAGAAAGCTAAAGCAGAATTTTATTCATCTAAGGTCAAAAGCAAACGCAAACACGATGCAGCAAAATGGCATAGAACGATATCCCAGTTAGCTGGCTTTGAAGGTGACAATCTAAACAACAACTTAATCTCAGACAGCACTCCCGATACAGCAGAAATACTGCAGAATATATTTACTAAACCATGGTCAAAACTTTCTGAAACCATAATCCCTAGTCTTGAAGACGTAGCGTCATCACTGAGGCAAGAAAATCCTCCTACTCCCTCAATTGGACAGGTTAAGACTGCCTTGAAAGAACTAAACTCTAAAAAAGCCACCGGGTCCGATGGGATTCCAGCATGGGTGCTTAAACGATACTGTGAAGAACTAGCGCCCATCGTTCATGACATTATTTGCGCCAGTATAAAAGAATGTGAATATCCAACTGCGTATAAACACGCCTTAGTTATCCCAGTTCCGAAGGTCAATCCACCAAGAGATATCGAGAATGACTTTCGCCAGATACCCATTCTTCCCCAAATGGCTAAAGTGCTGGAAAAGCTGCAGCTCAAACTGAACCTTCCCAGTTCACGTATAAATGATAATCAGCAAACGATCAACCGTGTCCGCACTCACCAACATCTCGCAGAACTGGTTTAATGTGACCGACAATATTCATAGCGCCAAAAATGGAGTTCATGCACTATTCATAGATTTTCGCAAAGCGTTTGACCTTGTTGACCACGGAATTCTACTTCGTAAGCTCGCAGAAATGAATGTAACCAAAGCCTTTTGGCTATGGACACGTAGTTTTCTGGAAGATAGAAGACAACAGGTCAAACTAGCAGGAACGCTATCATCGGTCAAACCTTGTCCTGCAGGAGTCCCACAAGGTTCTGTGATGTCTCCCGCTCTTTTTAATATTCACATTAACGATATTGAGAACTCAATCCCAGATGGATTATCCATAAACATATGCAAATACGCGGATGATTGTACACAGGACGAAGTGGTGTCACAAGGTTCATCCAGCCATATGCAGGAGGCCCTTGAAGCAGTACAAAAATGGTCTAATAGGAACAAAATGACGATAAATTCGAAGAAAACAAAAGATATGTGGATATGTTTTAACACAGCAATACCGGCACCAGAACCATTGGTCATTGGAAACGAGGTAGTGGAAAGAGTAAATTCTCATAAACTGTTGGGTGTCTGGCATCAAAACAATTTGAAATGGAACTGTCATGTCAAGAACATTGTAAGGAAAGCAAATAAACGAATTTTTAGTCTGAGAGAATGACGTAGGGCGAATCTTCCTCCTGAGGTCGGTATTACATGTTATGAATCCAAGATTAGACCTGTTTTAGAATATGCAGCTCCGATATGGGGTGGTTTACCACAATATCTCATTGATGAAATAGAGAGCATTCAAAACAGATGCATCAAAATCCTTGGCACATCTCGGTGCAACTTTGAAACGCTAGAACAAAGAAGGGCACACCTAACTGTTAAGGAATACCAAAGAATTCTAAGTGATCCGACCAACCCATGTAATAAACTTATCCCCCAACCTTTTACCCATGAACACGATCTAAGAACAACACATAATCTACCATATGTTGTATCGTATACTAAACGACACCGGCAATCCTTTATACCTAGAGCCATATCCCTAATTTAAAACAGTCCTAAATTAATTTTATAGAATATATAACTAGTATAAACATTTTTAGCAACATTGATGTAAATAATAGTAAAATTTCTTCTTATCAATTTTAACCTTAGCACTTCTTGTAAATCCATTGTACTTTTTTAACCAAAGATGGATATTAAATATTATTATTATTATTTTAATAACACTCCCTGTACAATATCAGTTTATTTTCCTTCATTACGTTTGCTAATTGCTATTTAATTTTTTATATTGCTTCTATTGTATATTACACTACACTTTAAAAATTGCACGTAACAAACTCTCAGAATCCTTATTTTCTATTTAGAAAATATGAAAATTGCCAGTTGCATGTCAAGCAAAGGTCTTTCGTCAAAGTTTTGACACATTGCTTGCACGCTGTCAGCCATATATATTCCTGTCCTGATAGCATTGAGCTAGTTGCTTTTCACAAAGTAAAGTTAGTTAGCGGGTACATAAATCGTTTAATGAAAATCTTACATATCGTCCGTGCAGCTGTCCACTTTCTCCAATCTCTTTCCGGCAAGCAGGAAATTCTTGAGATCCCTGTCCGATACTGAGGAATAAGGAGTGTCCCCTAAAATATACAAATATGGGTAAGCACAGATTGTAGAGGTTCCAGAATTTAAACAAATGGAAGTAGCAACATGCATGAGGAAATAAAAAAATGATACATAAATTTATGCCGTAAAACGTTTTTATTTCAGTTCCTAGTCAAATTAGAAAGAATCATTCGTTCTTAGTAAAATATCTTTTTCCCAGCTGTCTGCTTCTATTCGCTTGACACTGTATAGCCGTCGGGAAACCGATAGGAAATGTGCTTACCTAATGTGCATATCTCCCACAATACAACTCCAAATGCCCAACTAAAAAATGAAAAAGACGCGTATATGAATAGGTGGACAAGACCATACACAAACGCATATAAAAACGTATATAAAAAAACGAGTAAATTTAACAAACAAGATGGCGTTAAAACAAATAGTGCATGCAAATTGAGGGTTTGTACGTATTAAGACACAATTTTTAAATGATGACGTGATTGTTTGATATGTTATCACTAATTATATAGATTCCAAAATTGGTTAGACCACCTGACTGTTGCGAGCTCTTCATTGGCTTTTGTTCCCTATTATGTATTCAGTAGCGGCGTCTACAAGCGCTAGTTCCCGAAGAATGGTAACTCAACAAAAGGGGAATAAAGGAGAACACAAACTACCAGTTAGGTACTTAAAAATGTATATTAAATCACATATTTTTCTATTATATACCATTATACTGAAACAATTTCAAGATTTTGTTGGCATCTCACTCGATTCCATAATAGTTGAAGATCTTGCAGATGGAAATTATTGAATAGAAATTTATATACATTTATTGGGGCGCTGCACCGGAATCGCAGGGCCGCATTTTGGATTCCTGCCAGGGACCTACAGCTTGTTTCTCGTCCATTGAAAGTTACTTTTCTGGATCAAACATTCTAATAGGTTGTTTCTTTTCCCCTTCATGCTCAAATTTATTTAGATAACTATAGACCTTGTTATCTATGGCGAATAGTCAACTCAGGCGACGCCTTCGTTCACTATTCGTTCATGAAAAACTCGGCCTCGTTGTCTAATTGTTAAATAACCAAATGATTAACTTGTTTTATTAATATGAAAATTACACATTGGATAGCTACAATAAGTAGCTAAATTAGAGTGCGCATTACATACTTATGGAAGAAATACATTAATTATTGTACTATCTAAATTAGGTTTTACAAAAAGTTTCAATAAAATATATAGATATATTATAAATAAGAGTTATTATCAAAAGTTCGACTGACGAAACAATTGGACTGTTCCGAAAACGTTCTGTTCTGTAGTGGCAATAGTAAAACAATTGACCATTCTGACGTGTATCCCTTTGCCGTACCTGGCAGAGTTTGTTGGGAAGAAGATGCATGGTGCATGCAGTTAATTTGTGTTGTGGGCAAGACATTTTACTAATAAGATCAACGCACATAGTATTGCGACAGTGTTCAAGCGTATGCATTCCAGCTTCCATGCAGCAATAGCTTTTCATAATCTTTTCAGAATAGATTATTCTCAATGCCAATTTGTACTACTCAATGCTGCTGCTGCTCCGTGCTTTAGTAAGGCTCCCATGCCAGACCTGCGCTCCATATTCAAGTATCGTCCTGATGGCAGAAATGTAAAACCGTTTCATAATTATCAATCTTGTCAGTACCATATTTCTTTAAAACGTTTAATAAAGGAGTCGCTTAACTGCTTTCCCTATTATATAATCAGTGTTAGTTTGCCACTTTAAATTATCGCCAATCCATAAGCCCAATAGTTTGAACGCGGAAAACCTTTCCAACGTATCATTGAATGTTAGTGGTGGAATAACTGTCCTATTCTGACGAAAGTCTAACTGCATTTCCTCACATTTTTTAAGTAAGGTTTAGCTCCATTTTTTGAGACGTAGCAATACCCATAACTTTCATAATATTATTGGACGTACTCCCAACTTGCGTACCTGAGACATGATCACGGACATTAATAACCTCCGACAGTTTTGTGTCATCAATGAAAAGACTTAAGTCATTATCACAATCATCATCATTGACATCATTGCTTGAATTAATCAAACTGCTCTCGGTGTCTTTGATCACTGCCTTCAGTCGATTAATATGAACGACGAACGCAATTGGACTTATACGACTATCTTGCGGAACTCCTCCCTTAATCATACAGCTTGTAGAAAGTTCGTTACCAAACCTTGTCACTTGCATCCTCTTACTCAGAATTACCTTAACCGGTACCAGCTAATAAGCCCAAGTCTGAGTCCGATTTTACAACAGTTGTCTAATAGCACGTTGTGATCAATAAGATCAAAGGTCTTACGAAAGTCTAAAAACGCAATTCTTATTACTCGTTGTGATAAGTCTAATGCTTGATTCCATTTGTGTAGAAGGTGAACGAGCGCAAGGACTGCTAACGAGCGTGGGACACCACCATACTGTTCCTTACAAATTGTAGACTCAATATAATCATACATCCAATCAACCACGTAAGACTCCTGTATTTTTGAAATTGTGCTAGTAAGAGCTATCGATCTTATTTAATCCAGATTCGTGCCCGGTTCCACTTTTGGTATGGGTGCTAGGTAGAATTCTTTCAACAGTTTTGGAAACAATTTATGCACAAATAATGCATTAAAAATGTTTGCTAATGGGATGGCAAAAAAGTGCGCGAACATTTTGATTATCTTGAGGTAGGGGTCATTTGGACCGGGAGCTTTGTTAGACTGAATGGACGAAAGCTTTTTCGCAACGCTTTCAGGTGTAACAGTCGGCAAGACACTGACTGACCGTAAGATGACCCTCTGGACTCTGGATTGAATTTCTGGGAAATGATTTGTTAGATCTGCGAAAAACGTATTAATCATATTCGCAGCATCTTTATCTTCGAGTTTGGAGTCTGATCCCTGCTCCAGACCTTCTTCCACCACATTCGAGCATCCCCGTTAGTATTCCGCCTTTCAATGTTCATTACATAATAATGCGTCGTTGCCCTTCTAATTTCCGATGCTACTTTATTTCGCAGTTCCATAATTTATGCATTCTTCCTTGTTTGTATGCATTATCTGGATTCCTTGGTAATCTTTTTATTTTTGCTGTTATAAAACAATTGTCATCAGAATGCATTCGACCTGTTCTCTCCAGGAAATAGTAATTAATCATATCATTAGTAGCTCTGGTGAAATCCTCAACCTTCTCATCTACGTTCTCAACATTTAGTGAACAATGAACGCATAGAGCGCGCGCACACGGGGTAGAAACCTGATATATTCTGAAAATTCCAAATAAATATTTTTATTACCCGATCCCACATACCAACGAAATTTTCCGCATAAAAGCTTCAAGATACCAGAATAAATATTTATTCGCTGTAATTAGCATCATAATACACAAATCGGTGGCAACAAACTATCATGCCCTTAATCGCCGAGACTGCTTACACCTGGGTAGTTGAGAACATAGCGAAGTGCAAAGTCGTTCTTCATTTTGATTATGTCTGTCATGAACGGTTTTTGACGTTATGCGCATGCGTGAGTACAATTATAGCTATGGCTTGATTTTTGATTTTGCGTATTTTGGTGTTTTACAGCATATTGTATTTAATTTATATTTGGTAAAAAGTTTACAAAAGTACAAAACGTTTCTTTTGGATTTAAACTGGAAATAAACCTGCAGTTTCATGAATTACTGGCTGTGTACCGTGTTCACAAAGTTTGAAAGGCACAATTCACAAACACGAATTTTGCGACGACAAACTTGATGTTTTTAATAATTTAATCGTTGTTTTTGCTATGTTTGGGTAAGTGTAAACATTTCATAATGAGTTTCAAACCCTTTCAGAGATTATATCCAACACTGAAATATATTCACTATAGTGTTATGATCCAGGGGAGGTCGGCCAGCCTATTAGGAGAACTCTGGGCGAATATCTCGACCAATCACATTGAGGCATTTTCCTCATGCTCGCACGAAACTTGTGTCATCAAACATTTACATAGGTCTCATAAATATCGATTTTTTTCATACGATTAATGGCGTTTCTGCCAACAATCTTTGAAGACAAAAATGTCAAATTTCCACGGTTCGATTTCGCTATTTTTTTCACGATTAGTTAATAAACAAAAGTATAATCTCAGTTAATTCTATCCAGCCGGCTCCCCTCGGTCCTGCAACCGTTTTTTGTATATTCACGGTTGAATATAGCCCTCTGTAAAATATGCTGCCTTGTCAGTCAGATCGATAATGAACTGCTATTACTCGCTTTTTTCTAAAGAGATGTGATATATTATAGAAGTTCCGATATATTATGAATATGGATAGGATATAATGCAGTTAATATCTTTATTTCTTTTTCGATCATCACCAAAATTACACTGAATATACAACAAATTTTGAATCTCATCAAGTACAAAAATATCCCCCCCCCCCCGCTATTTACACCTGGGGGAACGAAAGCATTAGGAAGTCTAAAGTTCATCAAGTAGCGCGGGCGTGGGTGACCAACCATGGGTGGTCAACCTCACTGATCTCAAAAATATGACGGACCGTCATGAATAGCGGACACTGATTGGTCCAATTTAAAGTTTGCATTATAACGACTGCATGACGAGAGCGAAATAGCGAACATTTCTTGATTTGATGATTGATGAATTTTTTGCTCGCATTTTTGCAAGATTTTGTAAATTTCAAAAGTTTCTCATGAAGAAAGGGCGAAAGAATCGGTTAAAAGAAGGGAGCCGACGTTAACGAAGGTGAGTTTGTTTTAAATATTGATTTTATAATGGATTTAAAACCCAACGGCCTTTGTGTATATATGAAACAACTAAACAAGACAGCATATAATTTCAATGTATCTTTAATTTTGATTCCCTTTTTTATTATATTGAATTTTTTAAATAAAAAAGAAAGCAAAGTTATTTGCAAGCGAGAATTTGAAATCATTTTATCGCAAACTCAAAGTTTATCGATAAAGCCATTTAATTAAAGGCTGTTTAGTTTTATAAAGAACACTTGAAAACGACACTTTAAAACGTTTTGCGAAGCGTTTGTGGTTGAATTTTATCTGAAATTCAAAAACGCATTAATAATTCATGAAGCAATTATCCAATCTTGAGTAAGAAATTAGTCACGTGCATACGTCTTTATACCAGCTAAAGAACACTTTAACAAAAGACCATTGTTATGCAAACTATATAAAGGTTTTTATATAAAGATTTTTATATAAAGATTTTTATATAAAGATTTGACTTATTATGCACACGTTTTTGAAGTCATTTAAAAAACTCGCAGGTCGTGTTTTATTAGGTCTAAAGCCACTCGCGCTGCGCGCTCGTGGCTTTAAACCTAATAAAACACTCCTGCTCGTTTTTTAAATAGTACTTGAAGCTTATATATATATATATATATATATATATATATATATATATATATATATATATATATATATATATATATATATATATATATATAACTACTGATAATTGATAATTTTGTAATTAAAAATGATATTTTTAGGAGATTTGTAAGAATATTCTTAAAGAATCATCGTGTTACCATGACAACTGCTCATGTTCGGAAAATACAATGGTTTTGTCAGCAAGGCGAGGGTTTCTGCATGCATGTATTTTCCAGTTAACCTGTAACCAAAAATATGCTCATGAAATAGAAATTAAGAGCTAAATTTTCAAACTAGAACCTTCTCTAGGGGTTTTCATGAAGGAAGTTCACCTTTCGGCCTTTGATTCTTCATTGGCAAAAATTTGACCACAACACGTGCGAAGCAACTGGGTCTCAAAGACATAGCTAAAACATTGTGAGCCCCTATTTTCCTGACAATATGTTTGATACTTACCTCCGCCGAGAAGGTTTTTCTTTTCATTTGGCTATATTGGAAATTGAGGCCACCGGCTATTTTGAAGAAAATACAGTTCAAAGTCAAGCTATTTCCACATATTTTCAAAATTTGTCAAATTTCGCGAGCTTGTATTTTGAACTTATGCCGCTGAAGTTACATTAAGAAACATGGGATGGACAATTTGAGGCTTATAAAATAAATTTCAACTTATATTTCATTCTCATATCACGTTTTTCTTGGTTTACTACGGTTTTAAGTAAGCCATGTAAGTATTTGCTCCCATGTTCACGTGGCCATATTCGAAATCACTTCTTCCAATCACTCGATTACAAAATTAAAATCATCCCAAAACAAAAGAATTCAAGAACGATATTTAAAAGAATAACCGTTACTTTGTAAATCGATCGTTCAATGGAAACCAAAAAATCGTCAGCTAAAACAGCTTCTTGCTAACTTTCTGCTTTGTTTTGAATATAAGTGCAATGGAGCTTTGTTTCTGCACGCGATTTTTTGGTCAGCGACGACAAATTTCCCACCTGTTAGACCTCCAAGATATCTCTAGCGGCAATTAGTTGGTGCAAATACTCGCATAGTTCTGGTCAGCGACGACAAATTTCCCACTGTTAGACCTCCAAGATATCTCTAGCGGCAATTAGTTGGTGCAAATACTCGAATAGTTCAGAAGCAATATAACCAACATGTGTCCATCCAGTTCCATAGTCTAGATCAATTGCACTTCGGTCCATTGGATTCAATGGCTCTGGTCATATTCTTACATTCACTGGTTTATCTTGTCCATGAAGAGCAAGGTATGCCTGTTCCAAATGATGTTGATAGTTTTTCTCATGAGTACCACCGATGCACTTGAATGGTACAGCATGGGTGATTTCCTCCTCGTCACTTTCATCCTCACCACTTAACTGGCCGACATTTTCTGCTCTATCACCTTCATTACCATATCCATCCTGACCAGGTTTTACTTGCACGCGCGTACCACACGCTAAAATTGGCCAATAAGCTAGGAGCACCTATAGCCCCATGCACGTGAAAATCACTCCACAGGGGTACTTTGACCTTTAGAATAGATTTCCGATTTTGGATGTAAACATCGCATTGTTTAGGATATTTGAACTCAACTTCCGTTCAAAGCTCTCGCGTAAAACATAGATATTTTGAAATACCGAAGTAAAAGATACAAATATATCTGTAGATACAAGCTTGAAAATAATACTCTAAATAGTGTGTTGGATTGTGTTTCGAACAATACTAATACCAAAAAATTACGTTCAAAGTGGCCGAAGTTATATTCAGCGAAAGGTATGGCTTAGTGATGCATTGTTTACGTTGTTCGAGTATATTGCAATATTGTATATTGTATATAGTATGGTGTAGTTAGTTCACATTGTTCGAAGATGGCTAGTTTATAATTTATGGCTATTTTACATTGTTCGATCACACAGTATCTTTGAAGTTCTGTAATATTTTATCTTCTCGGCATATGAGTTTTAAATTAAACAAGACTAACAAAACTTACATAGGTGAGAGGAATTAATTTAATTTAATGAATTTATCACAATTAGAACAAAGGACAATTACATATTTGCAGAAATAATGACAGAAGAAGGTAACAGGAAAATTTCCCAATTGACAACCGACCCCAACAACAACAACAATATAATAAAAATGCAAATATCCAATTTTTAGAAGTCAGACTGTATCTGAATCAAAATACGGCGGTATGTGCGTTAGCAGCCTGTCCGAAAAATATCCATGCAGTTTTGATTTAAAAATAGAAAAGGACTGGCATTTTTTTAAATAATGTGGTAGGTTGTTCCATAGTTCAATAACTCTGGCTGTTTCAAGCTGTTAGCGTTGTCCCCAAGCCAACGGCGCCGAGCACCGTTCCGGGCGTTAGCCCAGGGCGATGGTACTAATCCCCCCGGCTATTTACACCCGGGGAAAAGAAATCATTAGCAAAGTCTAAAGTTCATCAATGATCGCGGGCGTGGGTGACCAACCGTGGGTGGTCATCCTCACTGATCTCGAAAATATGGCTGTTTGCTAGGAGTGGGATAAGCAAGATTTCAATTTTCAAAAGCATATATTTGTAATATAATTTTGAATATTATAAAAGTACAAAATAGAATTCTTTTCTATAATATAAAATTCCATTTGTAATACGTATTTTAAAAACACAATTGAACCTGTACAATATTTTCCCTAGTCAAGAAAAATATACAAAATAAAGAAACTTTCTTCTCAGACGCTAAATCAACGCTTTAGATTTATTTGATATGTTTATTAATACAAGTATTTTTGAGTATTCACACTTGTTTTTTTTCTTGCCACAAATTGACATTTCTAGGATGGGTGGGTGGGTATGAAGTAGAATTGAGTGTGGATGTTCAATTCATAATTTATTGCGTAAAACTAGTTGAACAACTTTGAATTAGTGCTTTACTTTTCAATGAAGCTATATTGGAGTTTGCTTTCGGAAATTTATTTTTATACAGTTAAAAGCAATAATCTTTCAACTATTTTTGGCGTGTGCCGTGTTGTAGAAAAGATCAGGGGCAATACAGAGTTGAAAATCGTAAAACCTAAGGAAAGTCCAAGTTTGTTTTAGATATTGATGTGTTGCTTGCTTGATATAATTATTAATTGCCTTAACTGATGTTGTGCACTTGTGACGTTGTGCATGTAATGAAAAAAATAATTTCAATGTAATTTTATTAATCGCCCTTTGTATATTTCTATTATATATTTGATTATTAACAATATTTAAATAAGGAGGAAAACAAGTTATTATTATCATGCGAGAATTTAAAATAATTTTATTTCAAACCCCAAGTTTATCGATAAAAGGCAGTTTATAGTTAAAACGTTTTCGAAACGTTTGTTGGTTGAATTTTACCTTACACGAAGATCATGTTACAATATATTTGGGAAAATACATGTGGGAAATTAATAATTTTTTTTTTTTTTTAAATTTAAAAATATAAATAATAATATGGTGTTACCATGATCGAGAACCACTTCAAATACTTCATGTTTGGAAAATATAGTGGTTTTGACAACACCGCGAGGGCTTTCTGCAAAGTATTTAGTGAAAAACTTTCCTCACTCTTCTAAATAACGTTAGTGAATATTTAAAATTTATCAATTTCCTCGAAACTAGTGCAATGCATTGCGCCATTTTTTCGATTCGTATACTGTCATATTCAATCAGCGTTCTGGATTGAGCAGCAGTATTTCAAGTTGAAACAACATAAAGTGTCGCAAAGCCCGAAAATGCATCGATGTTAAAGTATGGTATTAGTATTTTGTTTTCATTTATATTTTCTTCAATTTTTTTTCCTGGGATGGATTGTGTTAAAATATGTATGAGAGCAAAATAGTTGTTTCCTTTAAAAATAGTAGTAAATTTGTGTACTCACACATCACCGGCAGTGGAATAAGTTCGTTCTTGTATCGCTTCAATCGATAGCCATCGGAATGGAATTTTCCCGTTAGATTGTTTTATGTATGTTCCCTCGCGTGACAAGCCAAAATCTGATATTTTTAAAACTTTGTTTTCACCAAGTAGTATGTTCCTTGCTGCCAAATCACGGTGAACAATACTAAGTCCTGAAACATGTTTCTAAAACGAAAATATAAACGATATATTATTTCCCGACTTTGGATAGTTGACTGACTGGAGTGCAATTATAGTTGAGGGGACCAATACGGGACCATGTAGGGACCAATACGGAAGTCTTATTAGTAGTATTAAAAAATCTGAAGGGTTATGTAATATTATAATCTTGGACCATTACGGACAAGTATGATGACATTGTTTCAGAACATTTGTTACAGTTCAGTATTTTGCGTGTATGAAATTTGATTTGGAAGATAAAAACATTATAGTAAGACAGAGGTACAATCATAAAATCATATATAATATTGTAAACAATTTACCATTCCAGTAGCAATTTGACGAGCAAACGATTCCAATTCTGTGGGGTCTAAAGCAACTCGAATTTCCTCGTTTATTCTCGAGGCAATCTCGAAATTTAAATCTAAAATATAATACAATTTGACATGGAATATTACGTGAAGCGTCATTCATTGAATCAGTTCGTTTAAAATGTTGATAAAAATTTAACATTAATTAGTTACAACGCAGATATACGACTACTTTATCGATTTCATTATTGTGTAAGAGAAATTATTTTTTGTTTGTTCGCATTTTTTTTTCTCAAGAACGAATAATGAATAAAATTTGTTTCACAATATGTTATTAAACATAATTTAAAATCGGTATGAAATTAATGCACGAGATACAGTATCATACATTACTACGATAGTTGTGTATCCATTTTTTCTACAAATTAACTCTGTCACGAGAAGCATAAGTAGCTGCAAATATTGCCGCTGGGAGAACTTAATATTCTTTTCTGCCCAAAAATGTAAAATCAACAAAATTACTCAGTCAAATCAGATCCTACAGAATCTTGCTCAAAATGCAGAAGATGCCTTTTCATAAAAATGTCGAAATTTTTTCAAATAGGGAAAAACATTTTTCGAAATTCTTGGAGGAGCATAGCCAAACCAAACAGAGCTTCCTCCGCAAAGACTGGAAAGATGTACGTGCATGTATATTTAATTATGCCTTACCTAAATTTCCCTTATTATTTTTCAATTGCTGTCGTAATTATTACCTTCAGCTTGTTTTATTCCTGCTCCTTCCAACTTGGACCGTTCACTTGCATTAGAAAGAGTTGAAAATGTTGAATCTTTTGGCATTTCACCTGTCCCAATCAATTTCTGATATCGCCCCTGAAATATTTTCAATTCGGTATATGTAAATTCAATTCTAATCTATGTAAGTGCAAAGAAGTTATTAAAGAAACCTGCATTCTAATAATAAAATATATATGAATACATTTTCTCAGGTGCACTTAATTGTTAATTCAAATAACAAAAGATTGCGTTATTGTAACTAATTTTTCGATTGTTTTAACTATAAATAATATTGGTCAACATAAAAATTAATGTATAAAAGACAAGAATTTTTTTTATTTTAACCAATCAGTTTTTATACAGTGTGGCAAGCGCTAAAACAAAAGACGTTTTGATTCAAGTTTTGGCTTCTCGCATCCAGTTAGAGACTTGTATTGTTATAATAAATTGTTGTGCCATTCAAATCAGTTTCGAGTAAATGATTTATTTCATTCATGCATATGAATTAATTGCTCCTGCATAATTTTCTCATGCATATTACCAATAATTACATGGCAATGTTTTTTTTTAATTACAAAGGTTTAGCTTGAGTATCAATCTTTCCGAGTGGAAAAGAAACCATGAGACAAAAGTTGGTTTTTGAGTTCTGCGCACCCTTTAACTGCCACACGTTTCTATTACAGTGGCAGCCAATCAGATTTATTTCCTCCGCACACGCACTGTATTTAATACTGTTACACGCGTAAAAATTGATCAGGTTGTTCGGCGTTGTTCATTGAACAATGCCTGAACAATGTTACCATGGCTGAACAACGTTGTTCAAGCAACAATCGTTAACAACATTGTTCCAACAACTTGTTCACACTTGATGAACGAACAATGGTTGTTGCAACATGATGGAACAAGCGTCCGACAAGGTTGATGAAACATGCTGGATAAATGTTGTCAGAACAATGTTGTTCAGCGTTGTTCATTCATCAGGCGTCAACAATATTGTTCGAACAGGCGTTGACAACATTGATGAAAGAACAAGTTGTTTTTAGTTGTTCGAACAACCGTGAACAGCATTGTTATAAATAGACGGTAAAATCACAGAGTACATACCGGACCAGAAGTGTCACTCCTATTTGTTTTGGCTGAAGGAAAACGTCCGAAATTTTTTTGCTTGCTATGACGCCATCCTGGAGTGCACCCGGCACTTTGTACCTATGTTTTCCTATGAAAAACTTCCGTGTGCACTCCAGGATGGCGTCATATGATGGCGTATTTTCACGTCAGCACTCGTACAATTTCGGACGAAATATCGTCTGAGTGACACTTCTGGTCCTGTATCTATTCTGTGGTAAAATAATGATTTGAACAACACCAAAACGTGTTTTTATTGGTTGTTGCGAAAGCGCTGGGATGCAAAACGGCGAATGCGACCAATATCACGAGAGCAAGAAAACAAACGGGCTTTTACAGCAAAATAAATGTCGTTTAATCTTTGTGGTTTTTTCTGAAGATTGAGGGGAAAATACTGAAGAAAATAACTTGGTAAGTGTCTTGTTTTGAGGTAATGTTATAGTTGTAAAAGCTTAAAACAACCCGACCTTTTGATTTTAGTCATTTTCATAGTGCACAACGAAGAAATACACACGCACAAACTTTAAAGTACTTTTATATAGGAATTACATTTTGATATTTTTATCGATATTTTCAGTATATATGAAACAAGAAACCACGGTCATACTGTATTAAAAAGCCATAATATAAACAAAACATTTAATTCTCAAAATATTGTTTAAATTTTTCCAATTACACTTTATATTTCTGTCAGAGTCTTTTTAACTTTGAATATGTTAAAAACGCTATCATATCATATGTCCGCCGCTCCTTCCGTCCCTATTCATGTTGTTTGTAATTAATTTAAGTTTGATCACTGCTATATATAAACAATTCCTATTGTGTTTTAACAAGGTCAACCAAATACTTGATCAGTTTACACACCAAGAATGATGTATTTACTGCATATAATATGCGATGGATAGATTATAGGTAGGTAGGTAAGAGTGCATACAGTTAAATAATTAGCAATTTCTCATATTTCCTTTTATTCCCTGGTTAAGCAGGTGACTATAATTGTCATGGAAGGTATGAAGGAGGTAGCTATGATTTCTCACATGGTTATGGGGGATAATTATGATCATAATTATGCTCAAATGTAATTATTGTCTCATTTTTATCCTTTTTGTAGTGTAAACTTAAGTATAAAAATAAAGATCTATGAATATGTCAGACAAATTATATACAATGGGTGATCACTTGGTAAGTAATTTGTTTTATACCTTTGTTGTGGTCTGTGTTGATTGAGGCTATTTTGGCAATAGGCATGCACTTAGACATAGCATGACCAGTCCATATGTGGACTGTCTATGTCTATTAAACATGATTGAATGCCCAAAATAGATTCAAGATTATGATATGTTCCAGGCATGGATCCAAAAATGACCATGTACTGAAGAAATATGTTACGACCCATGTAAAATATGGTGGAAAACATACAATTGGGGCTGCATCCCACCATAATGCCTAGTCAAATGAAACCCCGACCCCCGGGATGAGGCGGGGAAATTAACATTTTGACAACGTTAAATTTTGGTAATTTCCCCGCTACCGGGAGAAAATCGACTGTTAAAATTACTGTCCCTATGGCCCCAGCACTTCATGACTTGGGAAATTTTCATGACTGGGAATTGTCCTGGCTAATAAATTGATTTGTTATTTACCCTGTACCCAGGGGGAAATCTGCATTAAGACTGTGTTCATCCACTGCCATTCCCCCATTAATCCCCCTGGGGTCGAGGGACCGGGGGTTCAATTGACTAGTGCATAAACATTGCAAAGGTCTATTTTGTAAATTAATGGTACTATGTATTTAATCTTAATTTATAGGGCCTGTGAGTTCATATCTGGAATAAAATAATGGCAAATCTACAGAAATATCACTGCCAAGGAATGTCAAACAAGTTCAGGAGGACTGAAACTGGATGTTCTCAGGATGAAAAAGAAATTGTTGACTTTAATTGAATAATCATTATCATTAATGTAAGGTTAAAAATATTGAACTTTCAAAAGGATGCAGACAGAAAATTGATACTCTGATGCAGTCAGTCTAACATTTATTCTTCTTCAGTCAATAACACCATTTAGTTTGCTAATACATTTTTTACTGTGTATAAGGTTTGCCATTTGAGTGATCCAGGTATGGGGTTGGCCCTCTGGCTAAATCAATTGAGGGAGATCCCTTTATTTTAAGTTAATGATGATTTGAATAAGATGCCATTCAGGCCCATAGAGATTATAAATAAGTAATCTTAATTCAGTAAAAAAAGGGGGGAACACGGCTATTGGGGGGCAAATTCAAGTCCCGGATGTGTATTCATGTTCCCATTGGTGACGAGTTTTAAATCAGCCAATGAGAGAACGATTTTATATGCGGGACTTGAATTTGCCTCCCATTAGCTGCGTTCCCAATTTTTAAACTCCATGCCTCCTCTAGTGTTATTTATAATCTCTATGATTCAGGCAACAAGGGCCCGGTTAGGTCTATATTTTAATTCAAATTATTGATTTATCCATCAAGAAAACCCAACATTAAAATTTCCATCGAGTGAGATGCAACAATACCATCTATAGTTTATTCATTATTTTAACCTATAACCCATCAACTGGCAATGATCCTACTTTAGTATTTTATATACTCTATCTCTAATTCTCCCATTATATTTATAAACTGACAGTTAATACTATTACTCTTTCACATACTAATAAAATCATCTGGGGCCGGTTGTTCGAAGCCCGTGTAGGCCTTTGAACTACTGGCCCCAGATGATTTTATTAGTCTGTGAAAGATTAATTATTAACTGTCAGTTTATAAATATAATGGGCAAATATAATGTATAAATTATGATTATGTATCAATTGCATACATGTTCAGGGGCGGCGCTAACCCTCTTCTAGTGGGGTGAGGGATCTCTTTGCCGACTTTTGGTTTGGATCATTTTGCCGAGTCATTAGCCTATGGTAAAGGTACGTTTAAATGCGTTTTATTATACCCTCTATTAAGCCGGTTTTCCACTAGCGAATTTTTCCGCGCAAATCGAAATGTAATGCGAAACCGGCCTGTCGAGAAAGAGTTAAGAGACATTTTTCCTTTGTCGACATCCATTTTGATACGTCTTGCTGACGTAATAAGTGATACCGACAAAGGAAAAAGGTCGCTTCGCGCAAGAAAATTTGCTAGTGGAAAACCGACTTTATTGCCTCTTTTATTGAACAATAATAAACAACAACAACAACAACAACAACAACAACCAAACAAATTTAATTCCCTATTTATGATTTCAACAATATTATGTTTTTGGACTGAAAGAAGTGAAGTACTGTATTCAAAAGAATTTGCATTGCTGCATGTGTGCTTTCTGAATTTTGATGCATACACCAAGTCTCTAATAATATCAAACTGAAAGTCTGAAACTTTATATTTGACATGAGTTTTACTATTTGTAGCGAAGTCTAGCATTACAAGAAATACAAGATGAAATATCACATGCTTAATCGCTTTCGTCACAGTGAAACAGTTTTTTTAAGAACGAAAAGACTGAACGTATCCGTTGAATTCCGTTCATATGAATTTACTTAATATATATTCTCGGTTTGCTGTCTAACGCCTAATTCGTTTTGATGCCCACTGATTTACTACTTGGTACATGTCTAAACCATCTGTCAGGTCCTTTCACAATTTAACAGCATCAAATTATCTAACCTCTTGTCCCCCATTGTTGAGCGGTAAACACTCTTCACGAATTTCAGATGACTGAAAGTTCTCTCATCTTTAGCGACTGAAATTGGAGCTGTTAGCATTAACTGATATGCCTTCCATGTTAATGGCAGTGTTTTTCTCTGCTCATAAGCAAATTGGACGATGTTGTCCATGCTTCCGTTCTTTAATTCTTCCTTGTGGTCGACTATGTTCTTGAAAACTTCAAGTTCAGCTTCTAACACGTCAGCATCCACATCATTGGGGAACATTTCTGCGAGTTTCTGTATGATTTCAGGTGATGGCTCGTGCAAAGGAACCTGCAGAGCGTGGGCTATAGGGGCGATAACATCCAATGTCGGCTGCATCTTGTCCCTAAATTGCGAGATAAGGACATCCAAAACGCACTTGAACTCCTTTCTATAATATTGATAAAAGGTAAAAGCTGTGGTTTCTTGGGGATTTTCGTCGTATCGCCTCGGTATACGCCTTACGCGGTGACTTCTTATAAATTCTTCTTTGGCATCAATTTGGAATGACGTCTTCGCATACAACACAGCTGCTTCTATCATATCATTCATCATTCGTTATTGATTCTTTCCAAAGATGTTACAGTGGCTTTCGTCAGCTCTAAAGCATTTACAATGTTAAGTTCTTCTTGCTGGAGGATTTCGCTTAAGATTTTAGTCTTGAACATAATGTTCTTCATAAACATCAAGGAGACAATAAAATCAAAGCTTTTTACGTTCTTCAGCAACCCAGAAATTGTTGCTTTGACTTTTGGATCCAATTTTGGTGCTGCGAAAGCTTCCTCTAAAGCTTTAACTATAGCTTCAAGAGATGTCCACACAGCTTTGATGGATTCTGCCCTTGCCGTCCACCTTGTCTTCGAAAGATTTCTTAGCTGAAGACAGTTTTCAACTTGTTCCAGGTGCTTAGCTATGACAGCGTGACGCTTTGTGCTTCCTGAGAAAAAAACATAGAGCTCCTGTAGGATGTTGAACAGTTCCTGGATGATATAGCTACTTTCACATCCGTGCTCAACCACAGTATTGCGTCTATGAGCCTGGCAAGGAATGTATGGAACTTTTCTATCCAATTTCTTTTCAATTTCTGCCTGCGCACCATTGTGTATTCCAGACATATTTGAAGCGAAATCATATGACTGGAAAACCAGTTCAGAGGACTTCAAACCACTATCTTCTAATGACGTAAGGATATCACTGGCTTGTCCACTGCCTGTTTTATCGGTCGTTTCTTTAACTTCAATAAGTCGTTCTTTAACTACAAAAGATGGACTATCCTCCTTAACATATCGGACAGCAACAGCAAGGCGATCCTTGTTTGAAGTGTCAGGGTAGTATCCGCCATAACGAAAAACATCTTTGAATCGCTTACTTCTTCTTTCACCTTGTCCCGAATATTTTCTGCCAAAATATCAATCATTTCGTTTTGCGAGTCGTGGCTCATGTATGTAACATGATATGGTCGCAAACGAACCTCGTTGAGCCATCTATTGAGGCTTGGACAATGCCTCGATAGAAGTTGGACAATCTGGTTAAAATTGTCATCTTCGTCATCCTGCTTGTGCGTTGAGTTTGTTGATCTACCTCTGAAAGCTATCCCTTGTCGGGCCAGAGTGCGTACAACGTCAAGCAGAATAAACACAGCGTCTTTGTTTGTCAACTTGTCCTTTTCCGCTTGAATAATGTTGGAACGTTTTTCTTTATCAAGGAGTAAGTCTACATTTAACGACTCTTGACTAAAAGCATAGAAATCCGCCAATGCGGCCTTATGGCTTTTCGATCCAAAATGCTCAGCAAGTTTTCCTTTCTTCTTAGTTCCTCGACTGGTCATTTTGTGCCATTGTCGCATACCATCTATAGACCATGCTGTATCGGCATGCAGGTCCAGATGGAAATAATGAACATACGTAGCAAAATGCCGCATCTTTTGAAATACTGTACTCAAGATGTGGAAATGATGCGTACCATACACTAGAAAACCGACATTGTTTTCGTTGGGGGATATCTTCATGTTGTGGGAAAACAGATAACTTAGGCTGGTGTGGTCCCAATTTTATTAACCTGAGTATCAGGCCGTACTTTTTAGGGCACAGGCACGCCTGATCGTGGGCGAAGGGGAGAAAAGTACGGCCTGACACAAAAGTGGCATTTTGCCTGGTTGTTCAGTCCAGAATCTGGACTGAGCGCTGATTGGCCGATTAGACAAACGATTTTTAAATCTGTCATTTGATTGGCTGGTGCTAATTACATTATACTATTGTTGTTGATATATTTTATAACGATCACAACTACAATTATAGCCGGCCCACTAAACGGCTGAATTTAAATTAAAACTGCAGTAAAGTTAGAAAATAATCGCCAATTAGCGAAATATATTGCAAATGTAGCTTATATTAAATCGCCATCAGATTGCACTATCGACTGACGTATAGTTATAAAGTATACTTAATATATATATACTTTATAATTATATACTTTTATTATACGTCACTGTTTGTTGATAAATACGGCAAGCGCCATGTAAAGCTCATTGTAGTCACTGAAACCTCTGCGGAGGAGAGAGCAATCGGGTGGCGATTTAATATAAGCTACATTTGAAATATATTTCGCTAATTTGTGATTATTTTTGTTAATTTTATAAGTTCATTGCAGTTTTAATTTAAATTCAGCCGTTTAGTGGGCGCCTATGCTATAATTAGATTGTTGTTGTCGTTGTGTGAAATTTAAATTTCTCCTGCGACATTTTGATTGGATACTAAATATAAACTTTGCTGTGGGCGGAAAGCGATCAGGTTAAGTTTTGTGTCAGGCTCTATTTGTAAAATAGAGCCTGATACTCAGGTTACAATTTTATGAATTATGATGTACTTTTTTTCAGTGAGTGAATTTACTTTGTATCTCTCACCAGGATCATGGCTTGGTACTGACACGACAATTTCTTCGTCATTTGGTGCTGCAGCTCTCTTTTTTTCTTCCATTTCCTTCAACAAAGCGCTGCTCATTTTCCTGATTTTATTGGAATTCTTACAAATTCGTTGTGTTAGTTCCTCAGCATTGGTCAAGAAAGTTTCTATCGCAGGACAAGTATCACTTTTTACTTCATCCACTAATTCTGATGCCCTCTTGAGATCTTCAACCAGGTATGATAATTCGCCAGCGCAAGTCACCAATTGTGATCGCATGTTCTCTGATGAAGATTTCACTTTCAGAAGAAGTGCACACAGTAAAACTGGCACTGGATAAATTTACATCTGGTTCAAGTAACGCAGATGTACACCTTGATTCAAGCTTGCCTTCTGATATTACATCACCTGAATCTGCCAGAGATTCTGGTTCGCTTTCGTTTGGCAACATTATTGGGAAAAGTACAGTGGCCGCAGCCATGGTTGTGTCTGGGATGGTGTTTAGTTTTTCTGACGGAATTGGCAATGCACCTGATGTTTCATCATGCTTATTATGAATTGGGATTACAGAGGGAGGGCTGGTATCATTAGAAGATGGCAAAGTATTATTCGATGGTTTGCTGTTACACTTAAAATCATTAAAATGCGCTTTTTTGGCAGCTTCAAATGGATTTCGAGGAGCATTGGCGACTTTGTACGGTATAACTTTGTTTTTCTTTAACATGTCAGTATGAAATGTTTTGTTGTGTGTAGTTCGATAGTCGTCATCAAACTGTCTATGACATACAAGACATTCTAGTTTCACTCTCTTACGTTTGCAAGACTTTTTCGTCTCGCTTTCTGATTTTTCCATGTCTTATTTCTTAACTGCAATTCATGTTGTGGGATTTTGCCACTAATTAACAAAAAAAGGAAACTTTTCGCAAAACAGCTTATTGTGTAATGTGTATGTATTTATTCTAGTAATAAAAGATATTACAAATTTACAACACTGGACATCTTTTTAAATTTTTAGTTAAGACTAAAAGCACTACTTTGCATTAATATTCTCCTAAATCTCGCAAGTCGTAAATAACGAAAATACTAAATAATAATTCTAACTATTTATAACGATAGTCACAATGGCAAAATTTATAACACTTTCAAACTGCATTTGCAAACCGTATACCAGGTTAACAGGTTCTGCCTTTTTAAATAATCAAATTAGATACTGGAAAACTTGTTAAACACGCTACCTTTTAAAATTGCTTCACGCCATAAGCTATCGTGAACCATAAATAGGTTAAAAGGAGTTAAAATTGAATATTCAAATGTTTACCAATTTCGTTTGTTGAAATCTGCGCTCTTTTTGGTCAGCAAAAATTTTCGGCGATACTTGGTTACATATAGAACGCATTGTCGCGGATCAATGAACCGATACCGAGTCGGATAGATGTTCATATATTGTGTGGGGTGCGGCCACGTAACTACTTAAATGATTTTGTATTTTCTGTTTGCAAAATTCAGAGTGATAAAGAAAGAGTATATTTGTGATATATTCGGTGTCTCGGGATTCCTTCCGTGATATTCGGTTTGAATTCAATTATTCAGGAAGTCAATTTTGGTTTCTTCAGTGGCTATCTTTAGCCAATCCAGTTTTGCCGAATGAGGTTAACGATTTGCCGAGTTGGAGACGAGTGGGGGGTGTTCCACCCCCCCTGTAGCGCCGCCCCTGTGCATGTTTCATAATATCTCTGTGATAGACTTGCTCCTGCAGATTCAAATTCCATCCTGAAAATACCTAAATAATAATTATAGAGGTTGTAGTGTTGCACTACCTTTTGCTAAAATACTGCCATGGTTTACCAGTATTATGAACTCAAAAGTCAAAACACTCAACACTATTTAGATTTATAAATAGTACTTAATAGTATTTTATAAACCTAAATTGCATATAAAATAGTTTATAGTTATCTTACCTTTGTACCTTTACTGTAATTACTCTTTAGTTTGTATTTGTTCACTATTAATCTGTATTTTCTTATTTCAAAATAAACTGAATTTCATATCAAGAAGCGAAGTTTGTCTGTTTGTGACTTTGTGTGCTTATTTAAATTTCTCTTCCCGCCCTAGAAAATGGCCACGAATAACAGCGTCGAAAACGATTGATACCAGGCTGTTTACGTATTGATAAAGCAAGACTGTTCGCAGTTGTTGACAATATAAAACATCATTGATATCAGGTTGATCTCAGTTGTTCCAACAACGTTGTCCAGGCCTTGTTCATTCATCAGGCGTTAACAACATTGTTCGAACAAGCGCGAACAATATTGTTAACAAGCCTTGTTGACAGGGTGCAGCACAGCATTGCTGCAACCTGTTCTGAACAATCGTGAACAAGTTGTTGACAACCTGCGACAACATGATGATTTTTACGCGTGTAGTCAACCAGCGTAACATCCAGATCCTGAATATTGAACATAAACTTGAGGAAATCAACAATCTGTATCAGGCCGTTTTCTAAAAATCGAGAGCCTGAAAGTTTTGACGTTAGCGGCACTGTAAGCTAAAACCTAAACCGGAATATTTTAAACTATGTAAATTAAATTAAATTAAAGAAAAATTAGAATTAGTGCATTTTGTTGACAAAATATCATACCTTGCCAGATTTTGTGACTTCATCTGTCCGCGCGCTTGCTATGTCTTTACACTTTAAGAAAAATATATGATAGCATAATAAGTATATAAATTTAAGCATGTTGTACTTTTTGTTCCTCAAAAAGACGATAACACATTGAAGGAACATTGAATTTCTTTTTCCCTGCAGGAATAACGAAGGAAAGAATGAAGAAATATATACATTTTAGATGTAAGAATACAACTACACCACATCTCTAGTGAGATCAGGTAATCGGGTCACGATATCTAATGAATATGGAAAATTTTCAAATGGTCTCTTACACTACGTGAAACTTCACCTACTTTTGTGAAAATCTATGAAGAACTTCAGATTTTACAAAAAACACAAACATTTCGGAAAATTAAAGTCCCAAGAGCATCGGGACTAATTCGTACTAACCAGCTTAAAACTGGTTTACGCACAAAAATGGAAGGTTCCAGGTTGCAACCATTACTGCATGGCAATTGATATAGGTAATTAGGCTACCTTCTTTTTAAGAGACTTCAGATAATTTTTCAAATTTCCGCCGGGCGCGTATTCCAGGACTAAACATATTGGACGACATCTTATGCAACAACCAAACATCTGAATGACATTTTCATGTTTTCCAAGGTCCTTCATCAACTCAATTTCACGTAACATATCACTAAGTTCTTCTTCATTGGCAGATTCTATATAACATTTGTTCAATTTATCGAGATTAGCTGATTCCTCAAAAGCCGATACCTGAATGACAACATATTTTATTAATGCAGACATTGCAAATGTATGTGTACGCACATTTTTGTCATTTACGATTCGGAATATTTAGAAATTACTGTGGTCATATACTGACGAATGTTGATGAAATATTGCCGACATATTGACGAATGTTTGGAAATTACTTCCATTATTTAATTCACCTTAGTCATGTGGAAACACCATGATAATTTTTTATTGATAGCTCTCGATGAAATCACCTGGATTTTCATCTAATGACCAAGAATGGGTATTTGATTAGTGTTTTGAGGTTGATAAATCTATAGCAACCAGGTATACCGGGAAAACGATTTTGCTCTCTTGCATAATTACATTATTTACTCGAGAGAGGTGACGTCATTTTCCAACAATGCAAAGTGTAAAATTTCTTTTGTGAATGCGCGCGATAGCTACCGTCAACAAAGCATAACAATGAAAATATATACGCTACGGTTATGGGAACTATATAACGATTGCTAGCATATATGCAAATGATCCGTGCGTATTCCTACACGAACATGTGGCAAACAATTATTTTAGCAATTGCAGTAAAATATATAGTAAATCTGTGGTCTTAACCTGTGAGTGTTTTTATTGCAACGGTTGTCCATTCGGGATTTCTATTGACTCCTTGGGCTTCACCAACATATACTATGCCAAATTCTCCTCTACCGATGATACCACTAAATCGTATTGAACCAGCAGTCATCTCAAAAGAACATACTTTTTCCGCTATATATCCTGGTATATCGTAAACATAATCTTGTGATACATATATTAAATTCACTATTCTTTCGCTGTTGTCATCTTCCAGCGTATTCTGCTCAATGCTAACACAAAAAAATACAGAAATTAGACTGTTTGCCGGATTTTAATTATTACCACTGAATTAAACATTATATACTTGATTTCGCACCAATACAATTCGTCATGCATGCTTAAACGGTCACATGGAAATGGACTAAATCGAAATCGTATATTAATTATTATTATCACTGAGATTTTAGTTGCCATTTGAGTGCGCTATATAATTATGAGTATTTTTAGTGATAACGACCATGCTTATCTCATCCTTATACAGTATTTAAAATGAATTACTAACAAAACAATTTCTTTGCCGAATTCGCTTATATCGATCCGAATACAATAAAGTTGACTAAGGTAATAAAACTGAATTGATTTAAGGCAACGCGACATTTGTATGTTTCAGCCAGATAAAAACAATTATCTAGATAATTAACCATGGTGTTAAATTCAATCATCTCTTAGTTCAATTCTCTTCCGGCATGCTTGCCATGACGTGCAATTATAGTTTTCAAACCTGCTGTAAAATTGTCATATTATATTTTTCGAGGAATTGTAAATCGAAGCAGCTGAATGTAAATTTTTCAGTAAAAAAAACTAATATATGTTCAAATACTTACAAGCGTTGAGGATTGCTTCTACTTCCGAAGTTAAAAGCTATTGCCATTTCTGTTTCCATGAAGTCCATTCGCTTCTTGTGACGTTTACGTAGCCAAACAATGAAACAAATAGCGATCAGAATTACAAGTGTTGGGATCAGAACAGCAACAACTATAACTCCTTTGCGATCGTCTGTTACCGAATCATCTGTTTCTGGCAAAGTTTAATAATACTTGCATGTACTGTACAGTCACACATGCATCTTCAAGTGGGAAACAATTTGTTCTTAAGAGGTGCTTGTTGCGGTTTGATATAGAGATGAATACATTAGTTTTCAAACCACATAATATTACCATTATAGCAACATTTTGAGCGCGGTGTATCATGACAGGTAATTTTCGATGTCTAATAAGTGCTACTCCCTAAGAAACGCAAGACATTTTTCCTGGATGTGCAATTCTGGTAACAATTAATGAACTCCAATATCAAACCTGCATCATTGACAAATTTTGCCGACTAAATTCAGTAAGGAGAGGAAATTTATATTTAATAATCTTAGATATTTTGATATGTGATCTTACCTTGTAGCACTCGCTCGCAAGTTCCATTTTCCTCAATAAAGTTTTTTTCACATGTACAGTTATATCCTTCTGTTTTTACGATTCGTTCGCACTTCCGATTTTCTCCACATGGGTTTGTTCGACATGGGTCATTTTCTATATAATATTAATAAAGTTGCTGACATTTTCCGTTATTTAATTACCTGGCTGATTATACTAATCGTATGTGTGACGTATATAGTCACCGTATATATATATATATATATATATATATATATATATATATATATATATATATATATATATATATATATATATATATATATATATATATATATAAAAAGAGCTATTACACCTATACTACGTTCATTGCATTCAGTATTGTTCAACTTAAATTTTGATATACGGCTTGAGCAATTTCGTGCAATATTGACCGAAAGAGCTGCGTTTAAACTTGAATAAACATTTTGGGAAGTTATTTGTGGTGTTACTCTGAGTGGATATATCCACACCGGGCGAGCTTGAAAAATATGCCCGGCCACGGTGGGATTCGAACCTACGACCTTTGGAATACTAGCTAGCCCAGAACATTGCT